TCGTCAGTGAACTATGAGGGCAAAAAACAAAAATTCATCGTTCAACAATCGTAATCGAGGTCAAATGTTCAATTCATTGTGATTTGAGGTCATATTTCCCAGCCCTACAACTGACCTATGGTACAGTTCACAATAACAATCGTATTAATAATAATAATATCACTCATGACATACAGCGATAGAAAGCTACGTTCCGTGTGCTTCCGACCATGTAAACCATTTCAAGCTTCAACCACCACAGCAGCCACAATCTACACATCTGTCAGACCACCGACAAACAAACAAACAAACCACGCTTCATGTCTCAACACCAACGAACTCCTTATCTGGGTCAGTGAGGCAGAGTGTTCCGGCTCAGAGCTTTGGATACAGAAAACACAGAAAAACCCTCCAATCAACGTCTGCTGCATGACCAAAGACAACAAAACCACGAGAACAGAGAAACTGTGCGGGCCGCTCCTTTAAATCTGAGCTGATGACTTCACAGTGGTTTGTTTCTGAGAGAAGAAGAAGAAGAGTCCCACATCCTGTTACTGTTCAGGAGAACAGTGTGTGTGTGTGTGTGTGTGTGTGTGTGTGTGTGTGATGTAACTGCTGTTATACTGTTAATGATGTGAACTTAACAGACAGAAAATCAGTCACCTCAGTGACATCATCGCAGTGACATCACCAAGAGGAAGTGAAAATACTGATTCAGAACACAACAACAGATGAAGAATTCACAGAAGATCCTGCAGCAGTGTCGGATAACCGCATGTTAAAAATCAATCAAACATCAATCAGTCATTCATGATTGATGTTCCTCCTTGTCAGCTGATTTATTCCCTCAGTAAACATTTTCATGATGACGTAATGGTCTCAATCTGTAGTTTGAATACAGCATGAAAGACTTCATGAAAATGTCAAATTTACTGTAATATTCATATTTATCAAAGTTATTATAACATGCAGAAAATCAACCTGTAAGTGTAGGGGACCGAAAATGTAAAGACAATGGTTTTGTGGGTGAAACATAGCAGCAGGTGAAAAGGAGAAAACAAAACACACATTCTAATGTTTGTTTAAATCCTCCAGCGGCTCTGTGCCTTTTTGTTGGGACAAATTATCCGGATAAAGTACGAAAACCTGAAGAGTTTTAAGTGACACACTTGATTTTCAGGAAATCCGACCTTGATGCTGCAGTGCTGCGTTAAACTTCTTGAAATAAGATTTGATCTCCACTTGAAAAAGAGAGCAGGGTCAGGAGGATCTTCACTGAAAAGGGATTCAGAATGGTGACATTAGTGCCAAAGAAAGATTGAGAGGTACTTCTTTGTAGACTTCTTCTCTCAAATTACAGCAGACAAAGATCAGAGAAGCATCAGAACGTCACAGACTGTTTCAGACTGAGAGAGAGAGACCTGATATGAAATGATACAATATCTTTTATTTAACGATAAGTACAGAGGCTCAAACTTCAGCTCTTCAGGAATATTTTCACCCAAATGCTTTGTCTAAGTTGAGCTAAGAGCTTGTTCGCCTGCAGCTTTTGACCATTAAAAACAATAAATGACCCGCTACTGGGTGCCAAGGACTTTTATTTTTGTTGCCATGGTATCAAAAAGGTATTTATATTGTTTTTTTTTTTTATCAGAATCATTGAATCGTTGAATTTAAATTCTGATATAGTCACAAACCTTCACAAAAACTGCAGTTAAACAAAATGAAGCTGCAAAAGGAGAAGAAGAACACGAAGAACAAGACGGAGGAGAAAAAAGAAGAAGTAAAGGAGAGACAAAGAATTCCTCCTGAGGATTATTCAGTCTTATTGTAAAGCTTCAGCTGTAACAGGAAGACGAGTTTCCTCTTTACAGGATGTTTGTGTTGCCTGTGAATGCCACGCCTGCTGCTCTCTCAGCATCAGGACTGTTTCAGGTTTGACCACACCAACACTGTGTTCGAATGTGAGCACAGAACCAAGAACAATATCTACTCTCCAGTTCAATGAGATTATTGTAAAGGATCAACTTTTTATTAACATTATCGTCTGACTTGTTTCAAACCTTTACAGAGCGACTCAGACGTCCAACTGTCTTCATAAAACACAGCACACTCGGATTCTAATTCTTCATCACATGATTCATTTTTCACTTTTTTGATTTACAAACGTATTTAAAATCAATGATTTAAACTTCTTTCAACAATTTAAAGTTAAAGCAAAAATGCTTTGGATGAAAATCATCAAAATAATGAAGCTAAATGTAAAAAAAAAAAAACTCATTCTCATTATATGTTTGTTAATTCATTCAGTTCTTAAATGTCAGGGGGAAAAAAATCTATTTTGAAATTATGGCCTGATCGATTTGGGATTTTTGGGTCTGATACAGCTATCGATATTAGGGAGAGAAGAAAATCTGATATTGATATATTGGCTGATATCTTGCTTAGATCTTTCTTTGATCTGTTGAGATAAATATACAGTACATTTAGATGTAAACATTTCTTGCGTGGATCGCTCAAATTGCGGTTATCAAACACTTGTGGAAAAGATGTATGATGAAGACAAGATGGTCACTCAACTGGAGAGTAACTGTGCATGTACTTGTGTCACCGCTTGACTAAAACTGCTAATCTTAAACAATAATACTCAAATGAAAATCTATTTGACTGGTGAATAAATCTAGAATCATCGGCGCATATCTGCAGTAATAATTAGCCGATAATGATAGTCACTGGATAAGCAAATATTGGAGGATATTATCGGCTGGCTAATTAATCGCTCTGATTTTTATGCAATGAAAAGTTTCACAGAATCTCAGTTTACAGTCGTAGAGGAGGACTGACACTATTCACAGTTTGATAAGCAGAGGAGAGTAACTTTGTCTTTCTTTAAAAAATGACTCAGTAATATTCATTTATCTTCAAAGCTGTTGATCAGTTGTCACTTAATCCATAAATCATAAATACGTCTTTAAAAAATTTGAAATCAGACCATCTTACTGACAGTCTATAAACCTCTATAATCTCTTTACTCTGATGTTCATTGCACTCAGATGTTTCTGATGTTTAAACTCATGACTCCATCGTTATTGTCAAAGAGGTGTTTGGTTTCTGAATGATGAACAAGCTTTAACTCTGATAGTCGTCATATGTTGTCCTCTAAGAACATGAAAACGGTTGTCTGACTCACACACTCTCTTTAGTATATTCAGCTGTTCAGCTGTATCTGTGTCAGCGTGGTGTTGCGGTTTATTCTCATGGACGCGCAGAGAACAGGTCAATAAACAGAACCAAGGAGGTGCGTGCACTCTGACCAAGATGTGTGATCAATGCACAGCGGGTAACAAATGTCTGAGGTCAGGGATAGGTGCAGAAGGGGGACGTTGGTAAAAAAAAGCATGGTAAGATAGACTGTGCAAGAAAACAAGGAGTGCAAAGTAATTGGGGAGTGCCAGCACTGAACTCTGCAAAAGAGTGTGATCTTCTGCACAGTAATCTCAAGAAGAGCATCCACAATAAACACATCGCTAATGTCTGGATGTAATGTAATGAATAAGAAAAGTATGTTAACAGTTAACCCTTTCTCACTCAGCATGTACACATTTTAACAGCCAGACGTAGTCCTGACTTGAATGATTCAATGTTCTGCAGTCAGATGAAGCAAAAGCTAAATAAGCAAAATAAACGAATAAGCTGCAATAAGATTTGGAACGATGTTGCAGACACATGAAGAACAGCAGAAAGATGAGTTTTGGGGTATTTGTAGCACATTAAATCATTATCACAACATTGAACAATGTTTTGGCATACTTATTTCTGCAGGCCCGATCATAAACATGAGGAGTGACAGAAAAAGATGTCTGACATGTTCAGGTAACAGTTTAAGTCTCTAAACATCAACAAAATATGAGCGAATGAAAACTAAAGCAGATCTGAAAGAGATTTAAGAGATTCAGTTTGAGAACTTCCACCCTGCTGGGACCACTACGACCAGTCCCACATGGAGCCACAGATCAAACCTTAAATACAGATCCGAAATCCAGACCCCCAATTAACATCCGTATCTAGGTCCTATTCAAGATCCTGTTTCGTCCACAGGGGGCGCCACAATCGACACAATATGACCTCACAGGATCTTTAATACGGACCCCCAGACAGTCCGAGGACTCGAACCAACAACCTGCAGCTGTCACATCTCTGAACCTGCTACAAACTTAGGTTGCACTAAGGTTGTGGAAAAAGTTTGATACTACGATACTCCTTGATGCCTCATGTTTTAAAACAAAACAATATGTTATTTTAATGACCAATACAGAAGATTGAAAAAAGAAACTAGGCCTTCATTTATTTCACTGACAGGTGTGTAGAAGAGGAATCATCTGTCTGAAACAAGAAGGAATCTGTCAAAAGTTGCGGTCAAACTCTTGCACACTCAAAATTGCACAAAACCATTGGCAACATTTCTGTACCGAAACATTGTAAATGTTCTATTGCAATCTAGACAGTGCAGGAGTATGCCTGCAGCTTTTGTTATTTAAAACAAAGAATAAATGACCTGACATGGAGCGTCTAGGACACTTCCATTTTTCTTTGATTTTTACTAGAATCATCCCATTGATCAAATTCTGGTATTGGGACAACTCCTACACACACTCACACTCTCATCACGATGTGTCTGAGCTCCAGTTTGCGCCAAAAAGTTGCTCAGTGCGTCACTCAATCAGACTCAGACGCTGCACAGAGACCGAGAAAAAGACCCGGTGTTACGGTTTAAAAAGTGACCGTGTTAACTGGTGACTTTCGGTTAAATGTGTCTGTGGCTCGTGGTCTCGACAGATTTCTGAAGACGGAAAGTTTCCAAACGAATGACATATCTGCTCATTTATTTTTGACACTGTAATAAAACACTAAACAAAAAGTCACTCGGATGTTTGACACCAGTTAACACGGTCACTCTTTACACCGATACACCGGACTAAACTCTGTTTCAATTTGATACCCAGCAGTTAACAGAGTCTCACCTCTGATCCCGTTTGATTCGGTCCCGTTCCTGGTCTGATTCTTAGTCCGATCTGAACCCGTTCCTGGTCCGGTTCCCGGTCTGTGTCTTGGTCTATGTCCCGGTCTGTGCAGGTCCAGTCCCAGTGATTATTCCCGTACAGTCAGGAGCGGCTCAAAGACAGACTGGGAGATCTGACTGGGAGGATACAAACACACAGTAATGTCGCGAAGTCACACATTAACACCTTCTACAGCTTCCGGCTACCCGCTTCAAAATAAAAGCATATAAATCTGGAGAACACGTACTGCTTCCGCTTTCCTTAGAATAAAAAAACATATTTAGGCTTTAGACTGATCCTCCATAGTCGTGATAAATGACAGTAATATTATTGGTTATATGTTTTAGTGAAACAAACGTGAAACACAAAATATCGCAATATATTTTACATTAAATAAAAAATATAGGTTGATCAAATATCCAAGGTTTTAATGAATCACAATCAGGTTTATGCCAAGTAGGCTATGTCTCCCCATTTAAGGAATAAGACTTGGTATTTTTTGTGCAGTAAAACAAAGAACATAAAGGCGGTATTATATATATATATATATAGGTTCTGATATATGGGATGAATGTAATATTATTTTTAGATATGCATATGTAAGTAGTTTATATATGCCTGTGCATTGAGATTATCTCTCCTGTAGGAAGCACTTTGTAACTGTTTTAAAAAACAAGTACCATTTATTATTTTGATTAATATTATTGTTATTACTATTTTTGTTAAAAAATAATCCACTGCAATTCATCTAGAGTCCACATCAGGCTGTCTTTAATAAGTCAAACTTGCTGATGAAACATGTGAATCTAAAGAAACCAGTCAGTCTAAAAGTTTGAGTCCAGCTGGTTTGCTCTGAATCCGGTCAGCTGCTGTTTTAATCTGTAATCTGTAATCCTAAACACATCAACGTTTTATAATCGGAGTCTAAACCCTGAAGTCTGATTTTAATAAACTCTGCTGCTGCTGTTCTGAAAGAGTCTAATGAGGCGAGCCGGAATAATCCGTCACGTCTTTAATCAGACACGTTCAACTGTGAAGAGAGCTTTCAGTATTCCTGAGTTTGTTTGGTCGTTATTTCAGAGAGAGCAGAGACTGAACATAAAGAGTTAGAGAAGTGTTGGTGGAAGTGTGACTTTATGGAGTGTAGTTCTTTGTAAACAACATACAAACTAATCAAACCTCAGTAACAGGTTTGTTTTATTAATAAAGAGAATAATCTGTCATTCTGAGTTCCTCATATTCACATGGCAGATATTTCCCTCAGATGGACATCACACTACAGGAAGTAATACTCAGAAGCTCTTTTTAAAGTTGAACAGCTTCCTCCCTTGTTATGGATCTAATAAATGAGTCAGTCTGACTAACCATTACTAACCCTGACTCACTATTTATCAGCAGCTTAAAGACAATTTATTGTGGAAATGTGATTTATTATCATTACCACCAACAAAGTCTGAGTACAACACTGAATCACGAGGTACCTTTGTGGTCGTACACTGATTGAAAAAAAAAATCTGAAGAATTGTTCATAATTTGAACCTTCAAAATAAAACTTTTTCATCACTTCTGACGTCAAATCAAAATCAAATGTAAGCGTTTCTTAATCCTTAAAAAAAAATTAAATTCACCTCAATTTTATTCATACAGCACCTTTTAGAAAAACATGAATCACTTTTCAATACCTTTCAGTTGCTGATCACTAAGAAATCAGTGATTCAATTAATTGGTCAAAATCTGAACTTGATGGGTAAAAGACAGAATATTTTGATGACAGCGTTGAGCTTCTAAGAAAAAATGGCCACCATGTGAATACAAGTGAATTACATAAGCATGAGAAACAGAAGCTAAACAGGATGTGATGTCAGAGACCCCTTCCATAAACATTCAGAACGCACCATGTCACTCAAAAAAGAACAATGTGTGGTTCACTTTATTAAAGATGAATGAGTGTGAGCTCAGCGAGTGTCTGAAGAAGATGAAGATGAAGATGAAGAAGAAGAATCCTAAGGCCTGAAAGTCTAAAAAGGCCTCCTGCCCCCTGTGTGGTCAGGGTTTCAGGGTCTCTGGTCTCTGGTTTGAGGTCCCCGAGTGGACAGCGGTGAGGAAGCGGTGGTGAACACTGCGTCCTGTAAGAAGCTGCGTTTCCTCCTCGCTGCCCAAACAACAATCAGCGGCGTGCAGACAGGAAACAGGACGTGCCTGAGACAATAGAGCTCAGAGAGGATCGGAGCTCGCTGCATGTTTCAGGCTCGGAGGAGGATACAGTCTCACATAAAGTTTTTCTTATCAGAGCAGAAGAACAGGAACTCTCAGTGCGACACATTCAGAGCCTCTGACGTCGACTTCTGCTCGTACTCAAGTTCATATTCAGACATTTTACTCTGCAGACTGAGAGGGGGCCAGTTTCTTCTTCTTCTTCTTCTTCTCCCATATAAGACATCCCCACAGTCACCCCTGCAGCATTAAAACACACACACACACACACACACACACACACACACACACACACACACACACACACACACACACACACACACACACACACGAACAGTTATCCCATCAGCATCCTCGTTCAGACTCTCTCTCCTCTGTTTTAATCTCAACTGTTTCCCTCCACAGAGAACAACGATGATAAAACCTTCTTATACTCTGTACAGAGGCCTGACCTCCCCTCCTGACCTTACACATTAACAACAGCGCCACCATGTGGTCTGAAAAATACATGATGTTTTCACGCATACTCCTGGACATTTCCACAAAATATCAGACAGACTGCTCCTGAAATCTTGCCTGTTGTTACATTTTTACTGTTAGACAGGTTAGACAGGAAGAGGGGCCCCAGGAGGCAAGACATGACTGAGAAAGAACACTGTGGTCACAAGATGTCCAAGGTGACGGGCAAACTCGGGCAAAAAGTTAAATATTTGTTGTTGTTAAAACAGAATGAGTCTATCTGTTGTGATCATGAAGAAGATAAGAGAGCTTCAGGGACAGAAAAATAACTTTATTGATTAAAGCGGTTTGAAAGAACAAAGATTGTTTGTGTGGATATGATGCTCCACTCCTCTGAGGTTCAGTCTGCAGACATCAGGTTCAGGACAGATTGTATCTGACACACAAATGTTGAAACATCTTCTCTTAAACAAGTTAAATATGATTGTCTCAGAATGTAGATGACAATATGAAACTTGAAATCTTGATCGAGTCAAAGAACTGAGGAGGTTTGTTCATGTTGTTCTCTCTCAGGCCGCCGTGTAGTTTTCTGACCACTGGGGGGCGCTGCAGACACACAGCAGCTGACATAACTTCATTTGTCATTGCATTAAATACCGAAAGTCACATCTAAGAGATAATTAACACAAACAGGAGGCAGAAGTGATTCATGATATAAAACCTCAAACATGGAGGATCTTTACAGACTGTTCACACACTTCATGTTCAAACAGACACACACATGCTTACAAACACACACCTTGTCTCTACTTAACTCTTTTTACATGTCTGTTTAAAGTTTTAATAGGTCAAAGATTCACTTGATGGTTTTCTGATCACTATTTTGTTAAATTACAGTCAGGCTGAGCTTTAATCTACAGCCAAACACAAACACTTCACTGAATACTTTTTAGAGTCGAGGTTTGAGAGTGTGTAGAAAAAGAGACGAGACGACCCAACAAGAGCAGGACCAGACTACAGACTCAAACTGACCAGTGGGAAACAGAACAGACTTTAAATCTGTTTAACATTTTCTTAAAAGCTTAAAAGTTTCAAGTCTGAGTGAGACTTTGTTCAGAGTTTAGAGAGAATCTGAAGGATCATGAAGAACTGAAAACGGGATTATTTTCATAATCTAAATTATGATATAAAATCTAAATCTAAATATACAAGAAATATTACAGGAGGATGAAGTCTTTTGATTAGCTAATGTGTGTTGGACACACTCAGACTGGATTACAGGGACTAAATGTGATCAAACTTTTAGGTCAAGCAAAACAACACTTCTACAATGATGTCCACGCTTGAGACTTTTATTATATTTTACTCCTGAATTCTTAAACCTTTAAACAGTGAACTAGTGGATAAACAAGACATTAAGATTCACCAGATAGTATCATTATCAAACATATATATATTACATTTAGAGCAGCTGTGGAACTTTCTCAGTTTGTGTGGACTTTGGCGCCCCCTGTGGACAAAGTGTATCATCAAATATAGAGCTCTGATAATCCAGATAAAGTATTTAGTCCTTTAAAGCCTGGATCTGGATGAGGAATATTTAATCTAGTTTAACTCTGGGAAAAAAACACAAGTAAGTCAGGTCAAAAAAAAGTGGTTTATCAAATCTGGATTATTTGGATTGTGTCTGTGTCGTTCTTAGTCATCAAGGTCGTGGATCAAGCTTGTGTATTCATTTTGATAATATTTGGATCCAGATTAAACCTTTCGAAGGTTGTTCTAATAGCTAAACTGATCTAATCTAAAGTGAAACTGGATTAAAGAAACTTTTAGACAAGACGTTGAATAAATGAACAGAAAATGAGTCAGAATTGTGCGGTGCAGCTCTCATTGTTCAGACAAACAAACAAACAAACAAAGTAAATAAATCAGTGATAAATCTTGTTGTTTTTTCAGTCCCCTCTGCAGTTTAAGTCTCTTCGTCGTCGCTGTGCTGCTTCTCTTCGCTCAGCCCGCTCTCGTCGATGTTCTCCAGGGAATCGGCTCGCTGCACCGTCAGCTCCGACACGTTGATACACGGCAGAGTGTTCTGCTCCGGAAACATCCACGGCTTCAGGCTCGGGTTGTGCTTCCTCTTCCACTCGGGATACTTCAGGGAGGCTTTGTAGATCTTCCTCATGGCCTGTGGGGACGACACAGAGAGGACGAGCTGAGACTGTGTGCCTACAGAGATCAGAATGATTCATATTCAACTTAATGAAGAGTTCTTCTTACCTTTGGAGCCACTAACTGAGACACTCTGTTCACCACCCACTTTGGTAACGAACCTGCAGACACATGAAGGACATATCACTAACCCACACCGCTGTCTGCTAACATCCAATCAGAACCTTTCTGTCTGAGAGAAGCAGAGCCGCTGAAGTGTTACGCTTTTGTTCAAATGACACGAGGGAGCACAACAATTATAGAGAACAAAACAGAAAAGCAGAGATATAAAAAGTCATTTTCTGAACTTGTCACAGTCACATCTCTAAACCACATGAAGGACTAACAGGAGAAACCTCAGTCGGAGGTGTGTTTGATTTGAAATGTTGGAGAAACGGAGTGCAGACTGTGTGTTCTGTTCACCAGTCAGCAGTCTGATAAAGACAAAGATAAAGATAAACTTTATTGATCCCCCACTGGGGCAAATTTCTTTGTTACAACAGCTCAAAAACAGTAGTATAATTAGTAAAAATAGCAAAAAGTAGAAAAACAAACATATTTACATTAATTAAATAAAGCAAGAAATTACAATAGAGATAAAATAATACTAGGCATATACTATAAACACTTTCACTTGTGGAAAGACAGAGGACAGTTCTTATTGAAAAAGCTGAGCTGAGCTGATCTGATGTCACTATTGATTACTGATATTAATATTATGTTAGGTCTGATCTCAGAATTAACATTATAGTAACCTCTTTGAATGTCTTGTTCACATGGTCAAGTATGTGAACAATTACGTTCTTGATGCAGCTGGTTGTGTACATGAACACGAGGTTGAAAATAAAGTATATCTCTTCTAATCCTTCTCCTATTTTTTTATTTTTATTTAACCTTTCTTTATTTAACGAGGTAATTAGATCAAGATCTCTTTCACAAGTTTGACCTAGCCAAGAGGGAAGCAGCACACATAATAAATAAAATAATAATAATAATAATAATTTTCTTCACTTTTGTCTGAATATGTAAACGTGCTGTAAAGAGTCACACATACATTTTTCTGTAAGTACAGCTGTTTGCAGTAACGCATCTATGTGTGCCATGTAGCAGATTGCACAAATCAAACACACACATCCCTCAAAGACACACCCAAAGAAATGTTGTGCCCAGAAAGCTGACATCAACAAATTGTTAAAGGATGCTTCTCAGCATTTTTTATGGCTGGAGGAAACAGACACTCTTCCTGTTCTGAACACAGACTTCGTACTGGGCTTACTGGTTATTTACTGTTAGGGACCATTATATGGTGTGTGTTCACCTCGGGGGTCCACCTGGGTCAGGTAGTAGAGGGTGGAGCAGTTGGCTCCGTTGGACTGGATCAGGTATCCTGTCAGCAGGGACACGGCTCGGACGTAGTCCTTCTTAGGAGGGTGTTGCTGACGGGACACAGAGAAGAGTTACTGAATAAAGCGGTGTTTAATTATTATTAACATTTACAAAGAACATTTTCAAGAGAGATAGAGAAAATTATACATGATGATGTGGAGTTGTTCAGTGAGAGCATACATCTAGTGGCACCTTGATTTTAATTTACTTCAGTGTCCAAATAAGAGTAAAAACTTTCCCCTAGAGTCTGTCTGCAAAAGTGAGTCAACCCCCATCAGGTCCCATATTAAAATATCAATTTTCAAGGCAGAAATAAACATGTTTACAGCTTTGTAGAAAAAACATTTTTGATCTTTTAAAGTCTTTATATGTGATTTTTCACACTTAAATATAATATAAATCAAGTATATCCTCTGAAAATAACTCTGTGAGTCATGACTGTCTACAATGGGTGTAACACCCGAGTCCCACTGTCTGTGATGTTTTCAGAGTTTTCAGAGTCCTATCTTCACTTTGTTTACATCGCCCGGACGGCCGGCTGACTCCTCCCCTCGTGTATAAAAGTTGTTTAATTGAGGGACTAGAGAAAAGAAGAATAACATACTGTACTCACTGCTTAACTGTGTTTCTAGATCACGCTCATTTCAGGTAAATTTACATGCAGTGTGAAGATACGAGCATAATAAAGATCAGTAGCATTAGCATGCTAACACAACAATGCAGCGCAAGTTGTTTTGGTTTCATGCTGGTGCTCAAGGGCGACATCTGCTGGATCTTGAACTCGCATATAAAGCCTTTAAGTCTCCTTTAGGGTTACCACTTTTTAAAATCAATCATTTGGACCCCCTCACTCTGAGGCAATCCGTCCCTCCATCCTGCACTTTTTTCAGAAAACTGTGATGTGCCTGAGCGTATTGAAGGTGCTCACGTCTTTGGTGAACAGTGAACTGAACGAGTACATTTGGAACTCATCAACGAGAAAGTGAGCAGCGAGTTCAGTCTGGAGTCAGAGAACGACTGCTCACGGTCTGACGAGAGTTGCCAAGCTCTGGGTATCGAGTTGGATAGCACCAAGCATGCACCGGACATGGCTCTGGTATGTTTTTCAAAGTAAAAGCCTGATTTTGTTTTTGTCTGAGATGAGTAACCAGTGTGTTCACACAATGCTTTTATTCTGAATTTTTGTCCAGGAGAGTTACTTAGTGAACAAGTATCTTGAATGGGGTTGAGCTCTCTCTTGGGGTCCCTGCTAAACATTGGTGTGTTGACATAACATTTTGCCGTCAATATTTATGTGGAGAGCTTCTTGATAGCAAGGTCGAAGCCATCGTTACTGCTTACCGGGTGTTTGACAGAGTAGTTGATGATCAGGTAGTCGTTGCCGAGAGGAAGCCAAGATCTCATGGTGACAAAGTCTCTGTTCTTCAGTGGAGTTGGACACCTCCCTTCAACAAACAGTAACAATGCGTTTAGACACAAATATCCCTGCTTCAGACATAAATGCATGTTATCTGTAGAGTCTTATTGATGAGCAGAGATTAACTGACATGAGTAATATCCGATGTCGGCGTTGGCGGTCAGCCGGCCGATGTCGTACGTGTCGATCATGTTGGAGTCCCACTTCTTGCGGTAGCTTGTGTCATGGAGGACGTCGTACAGTGTCTCTGCCGTCACGTCTTTACACACTATCCGCATCTGAAACACACACAGAGAGACAGCTTCAAGTGTCTGACCACATTACAGAAAGGATCCTTACAGAGATCGACCTTCTTGTAAAAGAGGAAAATGATATTATAACCCCTAACAGCCGTTACATCGACGACATGAGGAGGAATTTGCACTAAAAAATTGTACATATCTTTTCATAAGATATCATACAAACTGTTGTATGATGATGTGTTGTGATAATACTGGGATGTGTTCAGAAATACAAAATGGTTCAGAATAAAATGTGTCATTTCAGATAAATAAATCAGGTAAGAACGGCGAGCAAGTGCAGTAAGTTTAGTCTCCTACATCAAAAAGTTGACTACAAACTCTGGTCGTCTTGGTTACAGTGTAGTGTTTGATCTCAGCTGCTCTAACGGTTGAAACAAACTTTAACTTTGGACAAAAATCAAGTGTACAATAAAAAACACAACAAACACACACTGTATGAGCGTGGACACGCAGCAACAGATGCTGAGATGCAAGCGCAGTCATAGTGGCCACCACCAGATGGCAGCACTCAATGGGCCATTGGATTCCTGTAAGCGCTGGTCCTTGATTGTTACACCTTCTGAGAGCAATGGACAAACATTGTGAGGCTTCTGGTGCAGCCAACGACTCATAACAAAGACTAACAGCCAGGACTGATAAACAAGAAGCTAGAATGGAGTTAAAGCTCATATATGACATCTCAGTGTGCTTTTCACAACCATTTAGATATCTGAGATTAATTAGAGCTACATTATTGTTAGGTGATAGCAGCGAGGACGCAGGATTACATTACACAGGAGGTTGTTCCTCCTTTCTGCAGCTCTCCACAAATACTGGAATTGAAAGAGCCGAAGTGTTTCTAAAGAAATGAAGCAAACATGTTTTGTGTGAGAGACCTTGAGAAGGATTTCAGTTTGCAGCAGGCTGTTTCTTCAGAGTCAATTATCATCACCATCATCATCATCATGAGAAATATTCAACCATGCATTACATCTCTTTATATTATATTATAATCATATTGCATTACATTTCAAACTTATGTTGTGAACATTTAGAGTATGCAGTTTCTGTTCAGGGGATCATCTTTATCACCACAAAAGATGTGAGATAACGTCCGTCAGTGTGAAGAAAGATGGTTTAATATCTGAGCTGCTGTAGTTTAAATGGTTAAGATGTTTTTTTTATGGTTTTTATTTATTGATTTAATTATTTATGGAGCATTAAATCAGCTGCAGTGAGTCTCTGAGGAGATCTCTGTGAGTATTCAGAGTTATAAATGAAGCCGTGTAGGACGTGTTGTATAACATCTGAAGCTCAAGGTCTGACATGCAGACACAGAGGAGCTGCTGCTGCAGAGCTCTCACCATTTATTTCACCACTTTATTAAATCTTGATTTATTTTTATAGCTCTGTGCTCTTACTGTAACCTCCTGTTTCATTCTCAGGACCAGGTGGAAGAAGTCATTAGTCCTGGTAAGCCGCTCTCTCTGCAGATCTCCTGCTCTCTCACAGCTCAATTGATTTACTTTTTTTTTTTTTTACTCAACATCAAATATTTTCAAGATCAGTAGAGTCTCAATATAAATATATATTAGAAAAGGAATTAAGCCAGCAATGCAAAACTTCCAGTTTAGTGTTCAAGTGATCAATCATTCTCTAAACCTAAAATCAAAATGTGGAAATTTCCCTTTTTGCATATTAATGTCTTTGCTGTAAGTGTCTTTGAAAATTGGAAAAAGTTATTTTTGGGAAACTAGAATTCACCTTAGTTCTCAAACAACAGGTAGGTTTGTTCACCAGATTTCAGCCAAGTTTTCTTACACTTTAGATCTCTTGCTGAACAGACGGGACGCAGGCTTTTCTCCTCAGTGTTTTAGACGTCATGACATGCTGCTTACTGTATAACGTCACTTTTTTTCCACTGCTGCATTCTTACAGGAGCGCAGGGCTTGGCTGAGCGGCGGCCATCAGATATTGTGCGGGTCAGTGCTGAAAAAGTGCTCCATGTAACTCAATCAGCACGGCTCTGCTGCGTTAATCATTCATAAAGTCCTGAGCTTCATGTCTTTGTCTGTCCGTCACTCTGCAGCTCTCTCTACATCTGCTGCTTCCACCCAGTCCCTCAGGTCAGTGTGAAATGTTTCATGAAAGAACGACGACGCTGTGACCTTCACCTAGACCCGTTTTGAAATGTATACACTGCATTATCCAAACATAAGAGGGAAGGAAAATGACACTGACTTACAGACGGACATTAAAAAACACCTTGTTTCTACCCATCTTAGGTCGGAGAAGAAGGATGAAGTGAGACATTTTTACTTTAACTTAACACAAAGACTAAAACATGGGGGAACTGTTAGCCTAGCTACTTTAGAAACATTTATTTAAATCTGAAATGTAAAGGTGATCATGCCAAATACTCCATATCATTGATCTTATACCCTCCAAAAAGTGTATGTTCTTTATACCAGCTGGGCCTGAGGATATACGATTAGAACATCATCGGCGTACAGAGAAATCTCACCGTTTGATATCAGAGTCAAGAGCCAATTGAAAGTTCTATTTTAGAGTTTGTTCTTGTTTTTTTGCTTTAATTTCACTCTGTCTTTACTAAAGGTTATCAGACATGTTTTAGAACGATACTATCGCTGTTATTTCAATGATGATAGTATCAAAAATTGCCGCAGCTTCTCTCCTTTAATGGAAATAGGCTAGCTTTTGTACTCCAGTATTTTTCTTCATCAAAGGCTTCATCTCATCTGATAACTCTGTTAATAAGATAACACACTGGATATGCAAGGTTAAAGCTGGTGAGCTTCAAAGTGTACACTTATTGGCATCTCTAAGGTTTAATAAAATCATTTGCAATTCAGTCTGATGAGGTTTAGCTCGCAGTTTCCCACTGGTGCTGGTCTTTGTGTTAAACTAAGCTCAACATGTTTAAGTACTATGATTCACCCAGGAATAGTTTAATCCAGCTCTGAAGTAGAATTCTACGATACCAGAATTTTAAACGTTGATGATTCAAGTAAAAAAATATATCGATACTTGTTTGATACCACGGCATTACAATAGAAGTCGTTGACACCCAATACTGGGTAATTTCTTTCTTTTAATTAACAATTATTGTAGGCAAACTCCTTCACACAGTTTAGACAGTGTGTGTAGGAGTTTGTCTGCATTTTTTGATGGATTCTTTCTTCTCCTACACACATGTTATGAAAAAGATGTTGTTATTTTTAAAGCTATGGCACTATTCGATGCTATTTATAATTAAAATAACTGTTCAGTTTAAAAACAGTGGTATTAAAAACTACTAAACATTTCGACAACTTAACTCTGAAAACATTTATTATTTTCATATATTTGTATTTCTCTCTTGTGGAATCTGTAATGCCATCAGCTCCAAGGAGATCTTAATTATTCATGTGAGAGAAGAAGCACCTAGCAGCTCCACAAAGACTTCCTGAATTATTAACACAAGAGCCTTCAACATCCTCATCATCCCCTCTGTGTTTGTACCACACACACACACACACACACACACACACACACACTCTCCACAGTAGTTCACTTCCTGTGGTCAGCCTGGGGTCAAACTGAACGCCCTGAGGAGACAGACAGAGCTGTGAGCATCTTCAGGCCAGAGTCATAAATAAAACAGAGTCCATCAGAGAGCTCATTATCTCCTCGGTCAGCTCTTACATAAAGGAATTACGCCTCTTTATCATTTGTCTCCTCCTGTCGGGATCACTGGAGTATTTCAGAGTTTCATTTCAACTGAAGTTTCATAAATCTGCTCCTCCAGTCTTCAAGTCCAGGATTAACCTGAACCAGATCCAAACCTGTTCTCAAGCATGTCATACTTTTCTATAAAATGTCTTCACTTTGCACAAAACAATCTAAATCTAAAACTCTAATGTTTTTTGTTATCTTATTTAACTTTTTTCTAATCATTCTCTAAAATGTTTTTAAATGTAATAAAATTGTCCTGTTACTATCAAAAAAACATTTCAACTCAATTGATAGCTGTCTAACTATTAAATTAAATTAAATTCTGTCGCTGATCAGCAAGGAGTTTTTGTTTGTTCCTCGAATAGCCACTGGAGCACTGGTTCCCATAGGGGGATGCCAAAGATGTCGGGGATGGGGGGGGGGGGGGGGGGGGGGGGGGGGGGCACGAGTCTCTGTCTCTTCTAAGCTGATCAAATTTGATCAATAGATTTGCTCATACAGTATTATTACCGTACCGTGTTCACTTCTTGGGACAGCTCACATTCAATGCATTAATTGATGGAGGAAAACGCCATCGCAGTGTCGGCTAGAAAACTTCTGGTAATTTTTTGTATTCATGTACGGAGTGAAGTTAACATACTCGCTGACCTGCGACTAAAAAACTCAGCTTCACATCTGCATTTAAGTGAAGCTGAGGAAAAGTCCGGTCAGAGTTACAGGTTCTGTTTCTGAACTGGAGGGATTCCAGTCTGGAGTCTGAGCAGGTTCAGGTCTCTCTGCTGGACCAAGTCCTCCTCCTGCTCAGGTTTCAGCTGTTACCTTTTCTTTTCCGCTCTGAATTTTTCAGCACCCTGACGCCGGGCAACGGTCTGTTTCCTCTGGAGTAGGAGGTGGCTGTTGATCAGATGTTAACAACCTCTGATCAGACGTTTGTGACCTCCTATCATCAGTGTGTAACCTTTGATCAGATGTTTGTGACCTCCTATCATCAGTGTGTAACCTTTGATCAGATGCTTGTGACCTCCTATAATCAGTGTGTAACGTCTGATCAGCAGTTTGTGACCTCCTATCATCAGTTTGTAACCTTTGATCAGCTGTTTTTTGACCAACGATCAGCTGTTCATATCCACTGATTAGCTGTTTGCGACCTCAATTAGCTGTTTACGACTTCTGATCAGCTTATTATAACCTCTGTCCAGCTGTTTTTTTCAACCTCTGATAAGCTGCTTGTGACCTCTGATCAGCTGTTGTCTCTATCCTCTCTGTCAGCTGTCTGTATATCAGCAGCTGGTATTGATAACTGTTGCCATGGTGACAGGCAGGTAAAATGAAGTGAATAAGTTAATTTTCTATGTATTTATGATAAGTCACCTTGTTTGATCGATAAATCATCAGGGAAATGTTTTCCTTCTCGTTTTCTCTTCGCCAGCTGCTCAGTAGTGGATAACTCATAATGCTATAGCAGAGACAGAAGAAAACAGCACAGGACTTCCCAAACTGTCATCCTCTCTGGACCAATCAGTCCTGAGGGATGGAAAAGCAACACTGTGCTTCACTTTGCTGTTTTTGAAGGTGGAATTAGACTTCCAGTTTACAGCAGCGCAGATGTGAGTGTGTTCACCAAAGAATCATGAAGACAGTCAGAACAGATATCTAAATGCAGAATCTACTGATGAAGGACGCATTTGTTGGTATTGGAAGATTTATGTTTGCGACTACACAGACTGTACAAGATTGTTTAGGGGGTCTTTTGGTGGGTCAGTTTGGAGAATCAGCCTTCATTGGACAACACCTTAGCTCTTTTTGATTCATTCCTATAATCAGATGTGTAGCCTATATGAGTTGTGAATTCTGATAAGATTTTGGTCATAAATTTCAGCTCTAAACTTCAACTCCAATCTGACAAATCAAGTTACAGACTGAGTGATGATAACCAGAAGATAGAGAGGACATCTTTGCCACTGTGTCAGATGTCACTATACCTGATCTCACCTGGCTACATTTGAAATATTTATCACAATAGTTGATGGCGTTCAAGATTTTCTTTGTGTTATCTGACTGCAATTTACTCAACAGATTGTCGAAAAAACTCGATTCTGATTGGTCAGCTTTCTAAAATCTTATTTCTGTATATCAGACTGCAGCTGGGTTGCCATGGACACAGCTCTGATATAAGAACATTTTTAAAAAATGAACTGGAGCATGAAAATTGTTTTTAAGTTCTTAGTCTATAAAACATTCAATGTAGGATACGTTTCATTCTAATTTTTGTGACTTTTAATTTAAAAATCCAGTTTACAGTTTCTCCATGGTGAGATTTTATTCTTATACGAATTGTCGACTTTTAATTTGATTCACACCCGATTGCACAATTTTTTTTTTAAATTAATAGGCTAGTTTAAGGTATCCTACTTTTTCTTTACTTTCTTTCTTCTGAACTTGTGGTTTTTATCCTGATAGCAGGCTGTGACACTTCTTATCTCCCGCTCTCATCGATGATTGAATGATGTTCAGGTGTTGTATTTTCTCACCTTGAGTTTCTGGACGCTCCGGCTCTCCTCATCGCGGCACCACACCGTCACCCCTCCCTTACTGTACCGGCTGACCCATCCGTCCGGACTCAAACACTGATCCTTGAACGACGAGAAGTCCGAATCGTCCGGGATCTGGACCGGCATCTCCGCCCGAAACCGGAAAGTAGATTTAAAAAAAAGACAATAAGAAAAAAAGAAGAAGAAGAACTTGGGTCCAGGTTTACATCAGTCTGCAGTCTCACAGCTGCTGGTCTAACTGGGTTTAAATTATCACATACAGAGTTTTAAACAGAAAGAGTTCGAATGCTGAATGAAATCAATGACAGTGTGTGAGCTCTGTCAGCACCAGCTCTGATCTGCTGTCTGAGGATCTCTGCGGCCTCTGATTACTGAACAGATAGAACACAAACGAAGAGCTCTCACTCTGACTCCGCTTCCAGGAAACTAAAACCGACATCAGTGGTCCACAACATGTCCAGCAGGAGAAAAAGGTGTTGGATAGAAGCCGTTTATGATTAAAAAAAAATATCCTTCAGTAAACATTTTTAAACGAGTTTATGGTCTCAATTTCTAGTTGTAAGTCTCTTTCAATACAGCATTATGTTCATTTAGTAAATTATGGCCATATGAGTCAAGATGCTGTTTTCACACATGCACGTCTGAAAATTTCCAATAGTACTGGTTCCTGAAATCTTCACAGTGAGAGACTATTTCTGTCAGATGGGAGAAGTGGATGAAGCAACAGAGTCTGCAATATGCTGCTATGATGAGAATATTTGCATTTACAATCACAATGAAAACCATAGAGCTGGAAGATCTTACTGGTGAACAGAAAATATAATGCAGCAGTTTAATTACATGCACAGAGATGGTACTAATCGCATGCAGACCGATTGCAGTCATTTATCATTATAACATGACCTTTCATCAGGTTAGAGACATAGGCCTACCATTACTTTAATGTATAAATACATATATAAATCACCCTCAATAGCAGATGCTGTCACGATGGGTTACAGTTGTTAAACAGTGATGGAACAATGGCTGCATGCATGAGGAACTCTCATTTAGGTAACTAGCACACCTTCAGGTTAAGTTAACATGCACATGCCAGCTTCTGCAAAGTTAAGTAGATAGTGTGCGGATGACTTCTTCACACTTTTGCCTCTCAGCAGTGTAACCACACATTAAACTGATAATTAGTCAGACTGGTCAGGTGTTTAACGATCAGCTCTCAGCTACTAAAATGTGGACTACAAAAGGAGTCACTGTACCTGTGTTAACCGAGTGACGCATCTAATGAATAGACCATCTCTGATAACAGGTTGTATTTGCAGAATGATGCCTTCAGGTACTCCTGAAAAAAATGACATCAGGATCCTGAGAACAACTCATAAGTGAAATGTTTAAAAAACCTTTAATAAAGCTTGAACAATTGATTCTTAACAAACAGAGAGAAGAAATGTGACACTACAACAGAACTGGTATAGAGCTGAGTTTTTGGATTTCGGACGGTTCCTGAAAGCCTCAGTATCAGTAAATGATACCTGTTGTTCAGGTGGAACAGTGGGTGGAGTCTTTGGAGTCAGACTTGTGAACAGATCAGGTATCAGCACCTGTTTGTTTCCATCTTTGAGACTTTGACGAACTCATAATGACGACGAGAGAAGCTTCCAGAAAAACATCAACTCTGTGACCTAAAACTCCAAAAAGTTCAATGACATGATTTATTATTGCAGAATAAGTTTAAGTACTAAGTATATTGTGTCCCTTAGAATGAGCCAATGGTGCCATCTAACTGATTTCTGATCCATCAATTTCATTGCCTGTTTATATAATAAGCTGACGGGTGTAATGGTTGTTTGGTTGGCTTGGCCCCTAACAATTATACAGTATGATAAATGAGAAAATATCATGGCATGCATACACTGCTGAGCTGCTTTTAGAGGAATATATTGTCTTATTAAAGGAAAAAAAACAGTTAAGATTTGTGTTGATAGTTTTGCATGTCTTCTTTATCTATCAAACTTAAGCTGGGAGTCTAAAATAGCACCTCAAAATGTGAACTCATCTTTCATCTTTCATTTTAACATTTTAATTTGCTTTTCTCTTAATTGAAACAAACACATTGAGACTGTCTTATTGTAGTTCAAAGTCAGATGATTATTTCAGAGCCACTGTGACACATCAGACATTTATTTTGAGAGTATCTCTGCTGCCATCTAGTGGGGTTTTGAATGTGTGTAACTGTGTTGTCTAAGATTCAGTGCTAAATACATACATTTAGTTGTTTAGCGTATGTTTTTTAAACAAATAAAAAAGAATAAGTAAAATTCAAATCTTAAAAAGATTTTCTGTGATGTTCACATCTTTCATCTGCACTAGAATTGTTGGACACTCATTTTGTTTAATTCACTTTTTGATTAATCATTGCAGCTCTGAACAGAGGTAAAGTTCACTTCCTTACTTTAGAAAATATCTCCAATAATATTTCCCCTACCCCCTCCCCACCGGATCGTTGGTTGACGGCTTGCCAGAACAAAATATAAAATAACACAAAGAAACTTGTTTATAGACCACTTATCAACATTCACAAGATGTTTATTGACATTAATAATACTTTATTAGGTTCATATTAATGCCTTATAAAGATGAATAAATACTTTATTATGCAATTATTAAGAGTTAATAAAGCTCCTCTGCAGGTACTGGATCTAAAGTGGGAACACTGCTTATAAAGATTAATAAATACTTTATTATACGCTTATTAACAGCTCAGCTACAAAAAAAGGTTAAAGATTTTCTTTATCAATTTACTGTTGAGCTTTTTATTGATTAGACAACATAGGACACTTTACTGTAATAACTGTACTATATGAAACACTGAAGTTCTGTGTGAGAGACTCCACAAAAGAGAGTGAAATTAACAAAAGAGGAAAAACTTTCATCATAACTTGCATTAAACTATTCCTTACTCATTTACATACTGTGGCTAGGCTAAGCTACTTTCACCCTTCACGGTGTCAAACTTTTGCTCTTACAGATCACAAAAAGCCTGAATAAATACTACATTTTTCACAACACAAACGCTAACTGATTAGCATAGGCATATGACAATATTATGACATATAAGATATTTCAATTAGAAATTAATCTATAGTTTAATTAACACTCATGAAGTCTTATTAAAGTTAATAAACATCGTATTAATGTTTATGGCGGTATATAAAGTGTTAATAAGTTTCTAATAAGAGCCTATAAGTGTCTTCTAAAACATAATAAATGTGTTAATTATGCCTATATTAACACTTATATAACACTTATTTGTGTTAATAAGAATCTAATAATGTCTAATAAATGACTTATTACCTGTTATTAATGCTTATTACAAGCAACTTAATATAAAGTGTTACCCGGTTTCCTTTTACGTTGATAATAAAACACATGATGCTTATGCAGCCAGCAGATGGAGCTCTGCACTTTGATTGTACGTGTGTGTGAGTGTGTAAGTGTGTGTGTGTGTGTGTGTGTGTGTGTGTGTGTGTGTGTGTGTGTGTGTGTGTGTGTGTGTGTGTCATCTTTCCTTCCTGCTCCTGACCTTCGACCTCAGAGAACATCTGCTGGAAACCTGAACTAAGCAAGAATACAAAGCAGCTCTGTGTGACATACACACAAACACACACACACACACACACACACACACACACACACACACACACACACACGCACGCACGCACACACAGCTGGAGTGCGTGGTTTCTGCAGAACAGGAGATAAAAGTTGCGACTCACTGTTCTCTGGAAACAGCAGTTGAATGAGCTGGCTGTGTTCATTATTTGGGTGTCGTCGCTTTGTTTTGTGGATTTCTTTGGTATCTCTCATTCTGTTAGTCTTCTCGCCTCACACGGACCCTGTGTTAACAGATATTGATTAAAAATGTATCTTCCTGCTGATGGTCTTTGTAACTAATAAATATATCTCAATATTCATTTTAGTCTGTTTCATAAGCAGATACAAACCCCTAAAAATAATAATAACAATAACAGCCTCAAACAGATTGCTGTGTTTTTTACTGTCTCTCTGATCTGAGCTGTATACAACTGTATACAAGTTGACAGCATCCCTCACCCGCCTTCCATTGAAGTGGATGAATCCAAAAGAAATTGCCATGAGGGGTGCTGTCAAACTGCAAATTTGCAACCAGCCTATGCACTAGGGATCGGCTAAAAGAGACACAACATTGTTGTCTGGCCCCTTTCTCTCCCCTTGATGAAAGGTCAAACTTCCCTGAGGTGGGTAGTCCACAGCAGAACAGATTATAGTGTTGGTGTGAAACAGACATTCACGTTGATGGATAGTTCAATGCCTTTTTTGTTAGCGTTCAAAACGTTTCCTTCCTCTTCTCTGATAATCCGCTGCACACAGCCCTGCAGGAGCCAGTTGTCAACAGAGCTGTCAATGATGGTATTTAATACTGATTTACAACGTCAAAAGAGAAACCTCTCCAAATGGAAGATGACAGGAACACAGATTTGCGTTATAACTATCATGAAGATAATAAATTGTATCAGACTTTCATTTTGATTTCATAGTTTGACCCATGTCCAGGAGGGGCTGTTTCTCCGTCCGTCTTAGTTTTATTTCCATTTGATTGACACAAAAGATGGAACTACCAGTATGCAAACAATTCTGAAATCTCCAAGTTCATATCTACAACATGACTCCAAGCAAGTCAAGCCATTGGTCTCACTCAAATGTCACACACTCAGAGGTCCAGGAAGGGTTTTCACAATACCAACATTTTAAACATTGACATTAATCTATTACAAAAATAGAAGTCCTAGGCACCCAGTATCGGACAATGACTTGTTTTTAATTAATCAAAAATTCAGGCAAACTCCTGCACACTGTCTTGCACAAAAATATGCAAATGTTGGGAAAGGAGCCAGAGGTCGGACTTGAACCCAGGTTGCCCGCCAGGAGGACTGTAGCCTCCATACATGGAGCGCACGCACTAACCACGAGGCTGGTTTATCACTTGTGGTACCAAAAAGAATCAAAGGTATTGCACATTTTCAGGTCCAGGTGAAGGCGGACTCCAGCTGACCTGGTTCAGGTGAGCGGGAGGAGCTCTAGAACAAAGCATGGAGGTCTGAAGTTTTATCTCCATGACGATTAAACGGATTAATATCAGAGTGTGTTTGAGTGTTTTCAGGACCAATCAGACAGATTTTGAAAGCTGTGTACATGAACTCAGCTCTGTGCTCCCTCTGTTTGTCGTCCAGCTGCGGGACGTTCAGGAAACATTTGTAATCATCTTTATGAAGAGCCCTAGCTTGGTTCATCTTACCTTCAAAATCTCAGCCTTCTAATATCTGAGTTTTCTAAAAGGACTTGAACGCACCATAATGGATCAAACAAGCTGCGGCAGAGAGAAACTAAAGGTGAGTGATGGATCAGTTATTGATTCTGATGAAAGGGACTCCAGCTGCGTGTGTGTATAAAGCGTGTGTGATTGTGTTGTGTGTCCAGACTGAATGTTAAACCCTGTTTCAGCTCTGACGCACACTCACACATGCACACTGCTGTCAGTGTGTGCACAGCAGCACCACAGTGTGAAAAAGGCTAAAATGGTCTGTAAAGTGCAGCGTCCACACTGAAGTTAAACTCTGACACATTCCTCACTTCACTCATCTGTCTGCCGCACAGACACACAGAGAAAAGAGTTGAACCCTGTTGCAAGAGCAACACCAAGGCCCAGATGTTCAAAAGCAATCAAAACTGTCAAAAAGGATCAAATAAGGTTGTTCATAATCAGTGGCATCTTTTAAATCACCTCTTAAAACTCACTTTTATAGACTTGCTTTTATGTGATTTCTCCTTTAAAGATCTATCACTTCCTTTTATTCATTTTATTGCTTTTAACCTTTTTATCTTTTTCTTCTTTAAATGTTTCAGCCTTTAAATGTATCCCTTCTTGTATTCATTTTACTGCTCTTAGTCTTTATAAATTCCTACTCCTTTTATCGTTTAACTCTTCAGCTCTCTGTTCCTTTATTCATTTAACCAATGTCCTGTTTATCCCTTCTTTTTATCTTCATTCTGTGTTTACAGCCTGTGATGTGATGTCGTCACACTCTCCCTCAATTTTCATTTTGTTCTCTCCTGATTGATTTTAAACTAATGTTCCTTCACTGTACTGAACTGCCTCTCCATACCTGCCTGTTGGATCTCTCTTATTCCTGTTATTTGCATTTTTACAATTTTGCCCTCTCTGTTGATCTCTGTTCTGTTGTTGTGTTGCTGTATTTGCTTTGTCTGTCACAGCACTTTGTAAACATTTATTTTTAAAGGTGCTATATAAATAAAGATATTATTATTATTATTATTATTATTATTATTATTATTATTATTATTATTATTATTATCATTATCATTAGTACTATTATTATTATTATTATTATATTATCATTATTATTATTATTATTATTATCATTATTATTATTATTATTATTATTATTATTATTATTATTATTATCATTATTATTATTATTATTATTATTATTATTATTATTATCATTATTATTATAAGCAAATAAAGGATGACATTATCCGATAAGATCTGGAAATCTAATCCTGGTTCTTGTCCTGAAAAATCCTCCAGTTTGTATCATTTAACGTTCGAGTAGGATTGTGAGAACTTTGATCAAAAAATCATCCTGTCCCAGCAGAGGACTGTCTTCAGACTGGATTAAAGGACTGGTTTGATTAGGTGTCACCTCAGTTAATTAAGTCCCTGAATCTAGCCCATGTGCTAGAACAGAGCCAACAGTTTGTACTGCTGTAACATTTTGGAGAAGTAATCAGTCTTGATGTGCACGTCCGTGTAGTACCAGACCATCCAACAAGTCTGAGCTCAACTTTTACCACCAGCTCAATTATAACATTCTTTCATTTACATGTTGGAACTAACTAGCAGCTCTGTGTGTCTGTGAGAAGCATACAAGGCTCATTCTGTGTTTGTCATTACACTAAATGTGAATTTATTCTTTCACATTTTAGTTTTTGATGTTCTTGAAGGCAGCACGGTGTGACATCTGGCTGGGATTTAGATGATATCGGATTTTATCGCTGGCACATGAAGGCAGAAGGGGGAAAAGATCCTCTCTTTCCTTGAAATCCAAAATTAAATCCATTTCTTTAAGGGATGAGTGAATGTCTCTGAGCTTCTTCAGCTCCACATGGAGAAGGAGCTGGAGGAGGAGGAGTGAGGAAACTGACGGCTCAAATAAGAGAAACAGTTAATCTATCAGTGCTTATATGTTCCACTTCTCAGAGGTAATAGAAACAGAAAGTGTTTCATCTGCTTCTGGTCAAAGTTAAAGGAGGCTACAGCTGTTTTCTCTGAAGTATCACAGTAAAGTTGACAATTATTATCAGGGAAATAACCAGCAAAAAAATCAATAAATACTTCCAAAACTGTGGGAAAAATGATCTGAACTTAAAGAGCAACAACACTCCTCGTCCAATCCTTAACTGGTCGTTAACTTCTCTATTTTAAACTGGCCTGTTCTTGCTTTTCCAGAATGTGCCTGAAGTGCTCACTATGATGAATGAGAAGGACTTTCATAGAGGTTCACACCTCTCCTTATGAAGAACCAGCACCTGGCCTGTAATTACTGGTTTAGTGATGTCTGTGTCCCTGAATGCCTCATCGCCTGGACGATGACATCATCAGACATCCTGCAGGATGATTGCTAACAGTGTTTGAATGCAGCTTCAAATGTGTGTGTGTGTGACTGATTGTTTTTCCTTTAAATGTTTCTCTCTTTGCCAGATGTTTCACTGTTTTTGTTTTTGTTTTGTTGTGTTTAAGGATCCTTGACAACATGACAACAGAAACACAAATATCCAACAGGTAGAGATACTTCTTTCTTCTCTTTACATGGACCTGATGATTGAGTAAGTTGTTATCCTTTTTTATTTTGTATTTTATTATTTCATCATTATTTCCCTCCTGTGATCTGACAGTGTTCACTCATTCTTGTTTATTTAACACTGTAAAAAAAACTTCAATCTTAGCCAAATTAAAAAATAAATCCCTTGTTGAGTGTCTTGAAATGCCATGTACTGACTCGAGTAGTGAATCACATTTCAAGACTCTCAACAACTACATGTTGCTTGCAGCATTGGCGGTTAGTAATCAACTCAGGTCTTTTTGTATTTTCTATCTCTTAATAGGATGTTTATCTGGACTTGGCAGGTGAATGTGGCTTGCAATAAGTGCAACAAGATATTTTTGACAATACATTTTTGACGACTATACACTCACAAACTAAAAAAATCTCACTGCTATAATTTATGTGCAAAAAACCTTTCCAATACTTAAATGCAATAACAATAACATGTCTAATCGTTTATTGTGCACTGTGTGTGCACTTTGTGTTCCTGCTTCGCTTTGCTTCCCCGCTGTGGAAACAATAAAGTTAAATCAGACAAATGCACCTCAGATTTCAGTTTCTGAAGGGCAGTATTTCTTTTTTTACAGTCAGGGCTTCTGTCAGTTCCTTACTTTATTATCATGTATTATTATTAAACATTATAATCCTCAGGGCAACAACAGGTCGTCAAACTGCTGTGTGCATCCTCACCACAAGGTGTCAATAAACCTCTCCTTTTACCTGACTTCATTAAAATGTTCTTCTGAGATGATTTTCTGTAAAATCACTCTGATATTATTATTGTTATTATTATTATTATTATTATTATTATTATTATTATTATTATTGAAAGACACTTTATAATTCCCTCGTCTTCCTCCTCAAATCTTCAGTCATTGGTTGCGTGTTGATAATGAGCGCTGTGTGAACACTTGGTCTGATCTCGTCTGTTGGGGGTAAACGATGTCTCTCATTGGTTTGTGGATGAATATTTGAAAGCCTTGCAATCCAAATCTTGGTTGTCACCATCTCCTTTTTTTCCAGAGTCAGAAGTGACGAGAAGTGTGCACATGTGGGAGGGGTCACTAAATGTTCAATTACACTTATATATGATAAAACTGTCATTCACTATTATTATGGTATCATTTTGGTACTTTGGTATATGGTGTACATTGTCGGTGACAATGTAGATGCTGATTCTGGATGAAACAGGTTTTAAACAAAATGTAGACATGCAGCAGACTCTGTGGCGTCTTTAAGGACAATCCAAACACTTTTCAGGTTGCCATAGTCAGGATTTGTCAATCCCAGGTAGCCCTGCCCTAACTCCTCCTCTGCTTTTTGGTCTATTTGACTCTAAATGGGACCATCATTTACAAAATCAACAAGACATGAAACTAGACACTGCTTTGGACAACCAGTGGAGTCAGCCACTGCTGGACTTCAGTAAGATCACAGTTTACACAGTTTTTTTTTTAGTGATGTGTTGTTATCCTGTTCTGGTACAGCTGTTGAGGTTGCTAGGCGACAGGGGCGGCACTTTGAAATAAAAAAACAGGGTAAGAGTGAGTACAGCTGGTGACACAAACAGGTGTGAGAGGTCAACATCAGGCGACGAAGGCTGGGTCCTTCAGAGGATGATACACCTGAAATGACACCCAGCCAAAGTGGTTTTTTAACCTTCATAAGAATCCCTCCTCTGTTTGTTTTTGATGCATGCAGGTGATTAATAAGGAGTGCTGCAGCAAAGCACTGTAAGGCAGAGAAGTAAAAGGCTTTGAATGGTTACAGTGCTTGATTCAAAACATTTTTAAAGAAACATCAGACTTCTACAATCAACAAATCAAAATATCCTTTAGCCTACTGTAGATGCTGACTTGATAACGTTTTCATAGTCTATTTATAGGCCTATGTTTAACCTCATCTTGAAGCCTTTTAACCAGAAAGTAAAAGTAAACATGCCAACTGTCTGTGAGACACAAATCGGCTGCTGCATTAAAAATGTAGACAATTTATTCTTTCTTTGAACTTGTCAAACTTGGAAACTTCTCTGAAGCTTAAAAGAAAAGTTTTATAGAACTGAAGGAGCTCTCTTCTTTTCGGTGTCTAATGTCTCGCCCCTCCCCTCCCCTCTCCTCCCTCCACCTCCCCCCTCTGCTTTATAAACGAGTCCCTTCTGACTCCTGGAGGAACCGCGGGGCTGCATGCGGAGAGAGAAGGAGTAAGAAGAGGCAGAAGAAGTGCAAACTAGGAATAAAAGAAGCAAAAGTAGCTGTTGTCGAGCTGCAGCAGCGTTCCCAGTTTGAGTGAAGATGAAGGTCCTGGTCCTAGTTCTGGGTCTTGCCCTGGTCCTGACGGTCTGTGTGGCCCGCTCTCCGTACCAGGCGGTCCTGCAGCACAGCCGGATCAGAGGCCGGATGCAGGGGTGAGTTTGATCCGAGCCGTGCAGTGTCGGTCCTGCAGAAGAGGGTCTGTGCAGAAACGCTCCCATGACACTTCATCAAACCTTTTGATCGATTTCTGTCTGATTACAACTCAGATGTGATGAGTGACGAATCATTTATTTCTGCTTAGTCTGTGAATGTTCACTTTTGATTGTACTTATAAACATCCTAGAGAAACATTAGTGCATTCTGTAATGATTTCTGCTGCTGGTTCTTAGAAAAAACAAAAAAAGTAATACAACTTTTCACATTTAGTCTTCAAGTGTAGCTCAGAGTCTGTAGGAATCTCTGCTCGGGTCAAAGAAGCAACGAGAAATCTACTGGAATTGAAATAGTTTCAACATACAGTTATTATCTTGTGTCATAATAGTGATCATGTTTCATTCTGCACACATAATTACTTTATGGAGCTGTTGTTGCAGGAAATATTTAGATGTTTTGAAAGAACTTTTGCGGCAGTTGCTGGTTGTAATGATACCAGAACAACAAAACTATAAATCCTAGACACACATTTGGTAATGTAGTTGTTTATGATTATCAAGAAATGCAAAAAAAAAACAACAACTCCTGCACACTTAAGTGTAAATTGGCCAGCAACATTTCACCAACATATTTATAAAATGTAGACAGTGTGCAGGAGCTTTCTTGGATGAATTAATTCCTCTCTGAATTCACACCTGTCCTAAAAGTAGGTTTTTTAAAGCTTTGGTTATTTTTGATGCTATTGAAAATTAAATAAGAGACATTTTATTGTTTAAAAAATGGTATCATAAATCTAAACCTGTCCATGTCTGTTAACAGGCTGCACTGAACACATGTTGCTTTAATATATAATAATAATCCAACAGGAAGACGTTTCTCTGTGGGTGTCAGCTATGAGTATTGAAGGTCTTTTTTCTGTGTTTTTAAATAAAAGCGCTCCTCAAAGATTCCACCTTAAAACCCCTTAAATGTTTCCTTAAGTGATGTTAAGGTGGAGACTTTTACCTTCAGGGAAAACCTGAGAATCATGCAAACGTTTAGCAGCTTTAATGTGACCATTGATGACCACACATGTTTTCTTCATCACATTAAACCCCTCATCATGTTCAGGAAGTTTACACTTTCTTTCTGACCGTTTTTAAACTTTCCACTTACTTGTCAGAGTCAGCTATGATGATTTTTTTTTTTTTTTTACTTTAGATGTGATGCTGCATGTGGGAGAGTTTTCTTTTTCTGCAGAATTCCAAGTTTTTATTTAATATAAAGCAGCCAATTTGTTTGACTGATTTCTATGTGTTACTGAAGGATCAGAATTCTTCAATGTTTTCAGTAATGTTCAGTTAAGGGTGGCATAATTGTTCAATCTGAACTTTAACAGATTTTGAAATGATCTCATATTCAGATATAAAGTTTCAATAACTTTACCCAGGGTTGATTTAATCAAACTGAACTTTAAGATTATGAGGTCATTAGAGACGGAATAAAGATTTTAAAAGTTGTCTTTTAGTTTCTGATTTGGCTGTTTTTAATCCTCCTGACTCTTCCCTCTGCGTCTCTTTTCTCTTTCCTCTTTCAGGCAAAATGTTTGTGCCATGCAGCAGATTAAAGGTGCCGACAAGAAATATTTCACCAACTGCAAACAGTGGTACCATCGCAAGATCTGCGGAAAACCCACGTGAGTCTGACTGAAAGAACTTTTTTTAATATTCACTTTAAAACTGTTTTTATAATACAGAACACAGAACACAGTAAGTACAAGATTTACGACTTTTAGATTGAAGTTTTCATTTCCTGAGTTTATTTGAGCGTCTGTGTTCCTGTGCTGGAAGACTTGTTGAGAGTCTGTCGAGTGTTCAGTGTGTGTGCAGTGTGACTCGAGTCGTGCCGGACGGAGAGAGAGTTTGTGTTTAGAGGACGGAGGAATGTCCCTCTCCGGAGGTGTCCCCTCGCCTCTTATATAACCGCAGAAGAAGAAAAATCTGCAGCAGAGTCATCAGCGTTAGTGTACCTGAAAACCTGCGACCTGGAGGTTCATTTAGAGGACACTCAAATATGGTCACCTCTGAAATCAGAAGTCCTTCCTCTTCTTGATTTTTGATCAGTCGGTGAGTGAGAAGTGACATATTTTCAACTGAGAGCCCTTTGAGCGCAGCGTTTTTTTTAAGCTGTATGCTGAAAACACTTTAATGGATTGGTTTTGTACAGTAATTAGGTTCTTACAGTATCTGTCTCAATGCTGCTCACTAGCTGGAACAGAGGAGAATAAAGACTTCAAACAGCAAACCCAGATGTAAACAGGGCAGGATTTTAACTTTCGGGAGTTGAGTTGAGAGGGGAGTGTGTGTAATGAAACGACGTAAACAGAAACTTTAAAGCTCCCTCTGGTGCTGCATTTAAGTGCTCAAGAGAAACTCTGAAACATTCATGATTTCCAGCATAATTACTGACTAAATGATCATTTCCTTCCCTTTTACTTGAATTCAAATGTTTAAGGATGTGAAACTGAGCTTTGAAATGAGCATGACATGACGTGAAACTGAATTTCATGTAAACAAAAAAGAAACAGAAATTGAAAACTATCTTGTGCTGGATCAACAACTATAGCTTACTGAAAGGAATGCAAACCCAGGAAACAAACATGACACACATGTAACATGACGTCTCCTCGACTGAACTGCTGAGAGACGCTTAACCTGCTGAGGTTGATGGGACAGTCATCAGTCCTGCAGATATTTGCTCATACTCAAAAGTGTTGGACAGTTTAAAATTTCTGTTGATGGCGCTACAAGAGAGTCAAGGGATCTCCAAAAGTTATAAGAATTCATCCTTAGGGGGACATGAACATCTAACCCACATCATCACCTATGAGTTGGTGACTTTGGACATTTTGGATTACAGTGGAGGATGACCTGACAGCTTGAGGGACTAGTGGGAATCACCAACTCAGGAAGATTTCGGGGGCAGTCTGCCTGTAATTCTATTTATTCAGACATTCAGGGAAAGATCAAATATTCTGATTTATTTTAATCATTTCTATGCGTGCTGCTTTTTTTAACAAAAAAGTGCATCTCTCATTCTTTACCTGTGAAATTAAGATGTCCCGTCTTTTGAGTTGATTGTATAACACCGTTACCATCAGAAGTTTTTGATTATTCTGCAAAAGATATCAACGTTTAGAAGAGCTGTTCCTCAGTGAAGCCAACACAAGAACTCAGCTTCGTGCTGCTCTTCAGGTTCGACTGCAGGAAAATTAGATTAGTGTTTTTCTGTTTGTGACTGGCTGCAGCAAAGAGTGAGACGATTTGATTCAGACTGTGTAAAGGCTGCAGATACACACACACACACACACACACACACACAACAACAGACACACACACACACACACACACACACACACACACACACACACACACACGTACACACACACACACACACACACTTACACACACGTACACACACATACACACACATAAACACACAACATTAATGAGGCCCTGGCAGCAGTGGGCCAGCTGGGTTGCAGATCTCTCTCCGCATGAGCTGAACAGGATTAAAGCACAGACTGTTAGTGTGCGTGTGTGTGCGTGTGTGTGTGTGTGTGTGTGTGTGTGTGTGTGTGTGTTCGTGTTTGTTTGTGTGTGTGTTCCTCTTGTAAATGCACTAATCAGATGAAATCTTCCTCTTTCAAGTTGTCGTCATTTTTGCGGCGAGAAGTTATATCCTGGAACTCTCTCTCTCTCTCTCCCTCTCTCTCTCTCTCTCTCCCTCTGTGTAAACACACCGCACTGTAAATCACACAGACACACACACAACCTCCTCCCTTGTTTCCCTGCAGAGCCGTGAACATGATGAGGATGAGGGATGAAGGTCCCTGACATCCTGAAGATTTAAGAGTTTTAAATTCACTGAGAACAACAATAGCCGACAGTTTAACATTCAGAGTGTGCTGCACAGATGTTTATTCAAAGCAGCCTTATCTTAAGTTACTGAAGTATAAACCATAGCACTGTTCACACATGCACAGAACATGAACCTGCAGGAATCAGACACAGGAGAACATTGTTTGATTACATTTACTTAAGAGAACACTTTAGGATAGATACTCTAAGACGTACGTGATCTTTGCACTCTGATCATAAAATTAGAATATACAAAAATGTTTTAAAAACTTCCGATTTTTTATAATTTCATAGCGTCAAGAAGTATTCTGTCCCTGTTTCTACATTAAGAAATGTTTTGCATTCACATGTTTATTGTGTTTTTGGATACAATCTTAACGAGCACTTTTATCAGTGATTCTGGTTTGTTGAAGTCCACTTTGATTCAATGAAGATGAAGCCTTAATAAATGACATTTCATTTAAAAAAAAAAAACACATCTGACCTCAAAAGACCAAATTTAATCCTGATAACAGTTTAGTATATAAATGGAAAACCTTTTTTAGATTGAGCATTATTGGGTATTTCCCTCACTTCATACCACTGACTGAAACACACTGGTTTCTCTATGTACACAGACGTTTCTTTATTTTACCTGAAGTGATTTATACGCCTCTTGAATGTTCATGTTCACGAGGTATTTTAGCCTGTGATGCTACAGAGACCTCATGTTTACACAGTTGATTGCTCCTGATTAGACAGAGCAACGGATCCTTCCAAAAACGAATTTATACAAAACAGACTATTGTTAAAAAATTGTAGTACAAGCAGTTATGAAGAAGTTCATAATCTCAACAGAATCTGCTGAGAGACAGATTTGTTTTTGGTTTTAACACACAGTTTCCTTTTTCCCCTTTCCTGCCTTCATGTCTCAGACTGTTTGTACAGTTAAAGTGCATGAGTTTGTGTATTTTTTCATATTTGTGTGTGTGTGTGTGTGTGTGTGTGTGTGTGTGTGTGTGTGTGTGTGTGTGTGTGTGTGTGTGTGTGTGCAGGATGTTAAATGCAGCTTTAAACGTTGCTCAAAGTTCAGACAAAATTCTCACAAACAGATTCTTTCAGCGAATCAGGAAACTGGGAAAAAAAAAAGAGGAAGTGAGAGTTTCTGAGGACGTTTGTGAAGCAGTGAGAGGACACACACACTTACACACACTTACACACATACACATACACATACACACACACACACACACAGTACGGTCTGTGGAAACACTCAGCTCTTATCTGACAGGTTAATTAGATTTACACTCATGGTGTGGGGGGTGTTTGAAGTCTGACTCAGTCTGAAGTGTGTGTGTGTGTGTGTGTGTGTGTGTGTGTGTGTCCTCTGTTTGTGTGTCAGTGGGTCTCTGTGGAGGAGTATCAGCAGGTTAGAGGTCAACAGAAGGAAGACTCATAACTCCCTTCATAACTCAACAACCCTGACTACCCCCGACCTTCTCCCCCCTTCATCCCCTTACTCCCCCCTGTTGTGTTTACCCCTCCCCCCCCCTTAGTCCCCTTCAGCTCGGCCCTCCACTCCTGAAAAACTGAACTGTCAGCAGAAATCTCGGACATTTCATAACGCTGTTTGTGCGACTCAAAGCTGCAGTTTGGTTTCACACAGGTGCCAACATGCTACTTTGTTCACATTCAGTTAAACTTCAGACATCATCATCTTTACTGACAGACTCAGGAGTCCTTTAGAAACCAGATAAAACAAAACAGGACAGAAAAACTGATGGAAAAGTTCTGAAAGCCTTTACGACTTTTTAACGTTCTACAAGATTTGAAAGCAGAAGGCTTAAAGGCAGAAGCTGAACTCATTCTAAATTCAATTTTAAAAAACTTTATTAGTCCCCAGGGTGGGATTCAAATTCTAGAATATTTGCTCCTTACCGGGTTCGACACGAGACCAGATTTTTTAACTTTGATATGATTCTAGAAGAAATCAATCATTATTGATACATGTTTTGATACCGCTGCGGTTTTTGCTGTTAAGAGTTTTGTTTTTATTTGTTTTTCACTGAAGTAATGATGAGACAGGGATCTGATTTCTCATGGAAAAGTTAATAAAGGATTTTTTCCAATCCTCCACTTCTCTCCTCCTCTCCACCTCCTCAGCCTCTCTCTTTTTCCTCACTTTCTCCTCCTCCTTCACAGTTTCTCTCCCCCCTCTCCTCCTCAGTTCTCTCCTTTTCTTCCTCTAACTCTCCTCTCCTCCTGCTCCTCCTCAGTTCTCTCCTTTTCTTCCTCTAACTCTCCTCTCCTCCTGCTCCTCCTCAGTCTCTCTCCTTTTCTTCCTCTAACTCTCCTCTCCTCCTGCTCCTCCTCAGTCTCTCTCCTTTTCTTCCTCTAACTCTCCTCTCCTCCTGCTCCTCCTCAGTCTCTCTCCTTTTCTTCCTCTAACTCTCCTCTCCTCCTGCTCATCCTCAGTCTCTCTCCTTTTGTTCCTCTAACTCTCCTCTCCTCCTGCTCTTCCTCAGTCTCTCTGCTACTTCTCCTTCTTCTCCTCCTCTTCACCTTTTCTACCCTCCTCCTCTCCTCTCCTCCTCTCCCTCAGATTACTTCAACATCCTTAAATCTCAGTTTCAGACTTTAAACTCTTTCTCAGTTTATTTTGGAGCGTTTTCAGCTCTTACTGAATCAGAGACTTTTTTTTTTCTCATATGACACACGCCTGCACACTGAACCTGAACACCCATTGCTCTTGGCGGGAAGTTTCCGGAACGTTTCCCTAGAGCGGCTCGCCTGAATTGCTGCGACCCCACTCTGTTTATTTAGTCAGAAATCCACAGCGGCCATCTTTGTTTATGTGCAGACCAAACGGGAGTCGAGTTTCCATCTGGTTTGATAATCAGTCCCACATTAAAACACACACACACACACACACACACACACACACACACACACACACACACACAAAGATCTCCATCTGTTAATATTTTACTGCCTGTGATATCAGAGTTTCTCCACCTTCTGTCTCCACAACATAAATTCAGTTTTATTAGAAGAAGAAACAAACCTTAAAGATCTCAGAGACCTGAACTTGGACCCTGTTAAAGCACTGATGTCTTCTTATATTTGCTGATTAATGTATCTTATGTTGACTCAGCAGTTTCTTTTCTGTATCTATTATATCTGCATGAATTTAAAGCTACTACTCACTGAGGTTGTGATGTTTTATTTTGAAGAGAACAGGAAGTTAAGCCTGGTAAAGGTGTGGTGTTTTATCTGGCAGTGGGTGACTCAATCCCCTGCACCCCCTCCCCCCCCCCCCCCCCCCCCCCCCCCAAAAAAAAAAAAAAGCGTCTGCAGCAGATTTTTCTTCTCTCAGAGGAAATGAGCTTTATGAGCCCAGACGACTCACACAGTTTTATTATGGAAATCTCTACAGGAAGTCAGAAAGGGCTCTGCTCGGTATGCATGCTTCATTTCAGCAAACACATGTGTGTGTGTCAACAGCACACATACACTTTTCAGCACAAACGCACAAGTTCCAGCACACATCTGTGTCAGGCAAGCGGCAACCTCCAGTGTTTAAAAATGAAGCTAATACAGAAAACTGCAGTTCCTCTTGTGTCCACTAGACACTGTCTTCTGCAGTGAGTCAATCCCCATACAGCCCCGTGTTAAAATGTACAACTTTAACGCAGAAGTAAATATGTTTACAGGCTGGTTCATGAAAACTGTATGGGCAGAATTTATATATCACTCACCTGTTCCTATTATATTAATGAATTGTAGAGGATATTCATAAATTTGCACAATTAGGGGTGTGACCTCTTTGACCCACAGGTGGGTGTGTTGTAGCTTCACCTCTTGCTTTGCTTTCTAGATTGATCAAATGAGTGATAAAGTCTGCATTTCCATGGTGTGTTCACACGCACAGCATCAACTGCTCAGAGTCCTCCTGAAACACTGACAGATTATTTGACACAAATAATTATTTGACGCAAGTTCTTCAAAGGTTTATGCATAGTTCATTGTGGAGCTTGATAAATCATCAGGAAACAATGGTCACAAGTACAAAACTAACTGAAATTAAGATGTTTTTTTTGTTTTTTAAAAGGCAGAGTTTCTTAACAGTCGATATTATTGACTCTAAGTAGAAACAGTTTGACCTGTCAGGAGCTGAAGTGTGTGATTGTGCAGAAACATCATTGTTGAATATAACTTTGGTTCCAAACATGTAAATGTCTGCAGCCCCACTATTGACTCTGTGAGGATATCATGAAAATGGTGAATGCATAAACAAATGTTCTGTTAAATGTTATTGGATGGAAAGTCAGTGAATAACCAAAGTGTGCACCTTACATCTGGTAAAATGTGAATTTAAGCTGCCCTGAGTTCAGATCCAGACTTTTGTCAGAGCTGTGGGGACACAGTTCTCTGGTTAATTAAACAACATTCACTGTTCATGTAAACACTCCATGTTTATGTTGTCATGGAAACAGTTGGAATGTACCTGCAGATTCCCACAGTCTGTTCTTATTGTGCAGAATCACTTTTATTAGCATCATTACGCAGACAGGAATTTATGTGTCTGTCTGCTGCAGAAATATTAGTGAGCAGTTACGAGCCGCTCAGGTGGAAACAGAAGTTTTATAGACAGACGAGCGTTTTCCTCCTGAGGCTGAAATGTGCAGGACATGACGCTGTGGGAGTCTGCAGAGAGCCGGTCTGAGGAGGGTTCTGTTCTTTGCACATAGGAAGACCCAGGAGCTGAATAAGAAGAGGAGGGGGGTGTTATGAAGAATTTCTGATGAGCGTTTGACAAAGTCAGGAACAGAAAATGACCCCTCATGTGTCCTCTCCTGCTGCAGGGTGATCACCTACGAGTGCTGTCCTGGTTATGAGAGGATTGCTGGAGAGAAGGGCTGTCCTGCTGGTACGACCTCTGACCCCATCAAAGAGTCTACACAACTGACACACAACGCATCTATTACTCTAGTACTGAGCCTGTCTGCATCATCTCAAGCAGAAACTGCAAATCACTGCATCAATAATACTGAAAACTGTTTTTGTAGAGTGAACATACTGATGGATGTGTTACAGCTCATGAATGAAATATAGAAGAGATAAAAAAAAAAAACAGAAAGAAGAGCTGAGAACTGTCCTGCTGTGTCTGACCCTTCCCCTGCATACAGGCCTGTCACAGATGCATTGTGGGTGTTCTGCTCTAATAGTTTGTTGTTGATGAAGCTGTGCAGACAAACAGGAGGACCATTATGGTTTATTTTAGCTGTAGCAGACGGTGCTTTGTTTGTTGATTATGATTATTTGGTGTGTGTTTTTGTGTGCGTGTGTGTGCGTGTGTGTGTGTGTGTGTGTGTGTGTGTGTGTGTGTGCAGCATTGCCTCTGGTGAACATCTACAACACTCTGGGCGTGGTCGGAGCCTCCACCACTCAGATGTACTCTGAACGGGCCAAACTGAAGGAGGAGATTGAAGGTCCAGGGAGTTTCACCTTCTTCGCCCCGAGCAATGAGGCCTGGGCTGCCCTGCCCACGGTCAGAACGACCACACACACACAATCAAATACACACACACACACACACACACACACACACACACACACAATCAAATACACACACACACACACACACACACACACACACACACACACAATCAAATACACCCACACACACTTGAGCTGTTGGAAAAACTCTCTAAACCTCCTACTAAAACTCTCTCTGGTGTTTTTGTTGTTGTTGTTGTGGTTGTTGTGTTGCAGGAGATCCTGGATGCTTTGGTGAGCAATGTGAACATTGAGTTGCTGAACGCTCTTCATTACCACATGGTGAACCGCCGCCTGACATCCGAGGAGCTCAAACACGGATCGACCTTCGCCTCCATGTACCAGGACTTTGACGTCCACATCCACCACTACCCCAACGGGGTCAGTAACACAATATATACACACTGTAACACACTACAACGCGCATTAACACAATCATTTATTATCTTACTTACTTTGTCTATTTATGTTTTATATTTACTTTTTATTTTTATTAATATTATAGTTTTTATTTTTTTGATAATTTAATCACTTGTTTCTATTTCTTTTATTGCTCTTACCTTCTTATTGCTGTTATCTTTTGATTTGCTTTTACCTCTTTCAGTTTCTTACATCTTTTTAAATCTTTGGTTCCTCTTGGTCTCAGCTTGTGTTGTTGGGTTCTTGTGTTGCCTGGGTTCTTATGATGGTTCTTATGATGTTTCTTGTGATGGTTCTTATGATGGTCGGGTTCTATATGTCTGTTGGGTATCGTGCACTTTGGGTTCTTTTCTGTTGAATTGTATTTAATTATTTTTAGTATTTTGCATTTGTTATGTTCTTGCTGTTGTTTATGTTCTTCTGTGTTTGGTTTAGTTTGTTCTTGTTTTTGCTGTTTGTCAAAGCACTTTGTAAACCTGTGTTTTTAAAAGGTGCTATAGAAATAAAGTTATTATTTTTATTAATGCAACACACTGTAACACACTTTAAAACACTGAAACACACACACACGTTGTAAAACACTGCACATCCACCACAGCCGCCACAGGATCAGTAACACAATATATACACACTAGTGAATACTGTTACACTCTGCATTTCAGGGTCACAGACACATACTATGGGCAATTTCAAATCTGCAAGAAAGTGGAACAACATATTTAACATGCACTACTATTGTAACACACTAAAAAAAATCACCAACTCAATCAGGCCTGTGTCATAAAATTAGCAAACTGTAACACACTGTAAAAAAAAAAACAAATCGCTACTTGCCATGAAACAATGCTGCACACTTTTAGAAGCACATTTACACGCTGTGACACACCGAACACTTTGTGTGAGCTGATGGTTCACAGATTGTCTCTCCTCTCCTCAGATCGTGACGGTTAACTGCGCTCGTCTGATCAAAACTGACCAACACGCCACCAATGGCATCGTGCACGTGGTGGACCGCGTCATCACCGCCATTTCCAACAACGTGAACACGCTCATCGACGTCGACGATGACCTGGAGACACTGCGAGTGAGTAAACCCGTCGATCAGTTTGCCCACATCCACACCCCGCCGATGATAACCTGCAGAAACTCACTTCCTGGTCTATTGTTCTGGTTAGACGGCGATGGCGGCTGCGGGTCTAACCGCCATGTTGGAGAACGAGGGTCAGTACACCGTCTTTGCTCCCACCAACGAGGCCTTTGAGAAGATTCCTCAGGAGACCCTGACCAGGATCCTGGGAGACCCCATAGCTCTGAGAGGTGACTAGCCCTGACTCTGTTTATTTCTGTTATTTAATCTGATGACATGACTCTGATTCTCCTCCTGTCCTGTCTCCGCTCCTCTCAGACCTGCTGAACTACCACATCCTGAAGACCATTCAGTGTGCCGAGTCCATCGTGACGGGGACTCCCATGGAGACTCTGCAGGGGACCACGCTGGAGGTCGGCTGTGACGGAGACCAGATGACCCTGAACGGGAAGGCCGTCATCACCAAGAAAGACCAGCTGGGAACAAACGGAGTCGTCCACTACATCAACGAGCTGCTCATCCCTGACTCAGGTAATAATACTTATACTATTATATACTATTACTACAAACAAATACTACTGAAACTGCAGAGCTGCATCTAATACAAACAGTACTGCTGTTAAAATAAACACAGCAAAACATCAACAAGCTGCTCATCCCCGACTGAAAAAAACTAGATACCTTTAAATGAGTGTGCAGTCATTACACTACACACACTCTCTTTCTCATTATACCACCTCTACTGCATTCAAACACAAAGTACCTTTTTAAAAATATAAAACCTAAAAATGTAACCGTCAACGTTAGTAATCGTAGTGTGTACCTGTCATATTTTTGTGTTTAACTTTTTTTTTTGCAGCTAAGGTTCTGCTGGAGCTGGCTGAAGGTTCCTCCGTTGCCACGGCAACCAAGCTGTTTGTTGAGGCAGGCCTGAGCCCCCAGCTGACGGGCTCCGAGGCTCTAACCCTGCTGGCTCCTCTGGACGATGCCTTCAAAGGTAAACAGACTCCTCCCCCGACCTGCTGCGAATCTTTTGACATTTTTGATTAAAAAAAAAATTATTCATATTTTGTGATTTATTTTTATTGACAAATTAATTGATTACTTGTTGCAGATAAGATTAGATACTTTATTGTCATTGTATGCAGGCGACATAATCTGCAGCTATTCACCTGTTAGTACAAACCTGTGTGTGTGTGTGTGTGTGTGTGTGTGTGTGTGTGTGTGTGTGTGTGTGTAACAGGCAGCGTGACAATGAATCCCAGCATGAGGCTGCTGATGACCAATCACATCCTGAAGGAGCAGCTGTCGTCTAAAGCGCTGTATCATGGTCAGGAGCTGGAGACGCTCGGAGGACTCAAGTTGAGAGTGTTCGTCTACAGAAACGTGAGGATACTTATATGTTTATTTGTTCTTTATTTTCCCTCTAAGCTGAACAAACATCAGGCTCATTAGTCACTCAAACTGCTCTCTGAATCGCAGAGACGATTAGGTCGTCTGCAGCGGATTTGGTTTCAGCGTCTAATTTTGGTTTTCATTATTTTTCGCGTGTGTTTTGAAGCTGTTTGGTCGAGGTTTCCCGACAAATGAAACCAGCTTTCGTTTTATAATGAGACAGTGATTTCTGCTTCCTGGAATAAGAACACTTTAGTGGTCTGTCACTTGAGATATTTTCCCACAGACTATCAGACTGTCTCCACGTTATTAAAGTCTGATTCTGATGCGTTTCTGTCAGTTCGTTAAAGCAGCTGCTTGTGCGCTGTGTGAGAACAAATCAGTTACTGTGTCTGTCTTGTTACCAGGCAGACAAGGAGGATGGTCCGTCCTCATTGGTCATGAATGTGGTCTCTGCCTACTCAGTGGGGATTCCATGAGGTCAACGAGTTTCTGTCTGTTTTGTCGTGAATAACTTTAACAGTCTCAGTTTGAGGATAAATCTGTGAATCACATCTGAGAGTTTAAAGAGGAAACATCAAACTTTATTTAATTAAGAAGCATTTTTTTTAAATGAAAGCGTGACAGCATGAGATGTGGTGACTGAATGACTGAGAGGATCATTACTGCCACCGCATGATGTCATCAGATGATGTCATCCGATGGTCGGAATGAGAGATGGCTGCAGAGACGAGCAGGAGAGTTAAAGTTCCGTTAGGTGGGAATATTTACTGAAAATATGAACATGGCATGAATCAAAAACTAACGGCAGTACAAGCTGACATGAACGTTTGTGTGTGTGTGTGTGTGTGTCCACTCCTGGAGCTAACACGTGTTTTACCTTAAAGGGATGACACCAAGCTAATCAGGATATTGCCATAACAACGAAGGTAAACAAACACTTATAAAGCTGAACTTACAGGTTTAAAAGAACGTTCTCACTTCAGCTCCTGCCGACTTCACCCTAGCAGGAAAGAGTCAGGGTAAATTCAGCTGTTCTCATTCACACATGCAGCTCATGAAGGTTTGGTGCACTACTGGTCTTTCTCTGTCTCCCCCCCCCCCCCCCGTGGCTCCACATGTTTCAGGTCCTGGACCCGGACTTGTGGGTGGTTCATATTTCTGCTCAGTGATGAACTCTGCAGACCACAAGAAGCTTCCTGCTTCCCACGGCTGCTAAATCTTTCCAGACTGTGTGTGTGTGTGTGTGTGTCCATGTGTGTCGTGTGTGTGTGTGTGTGTCCATGTGTGTCGTGTGTGTGTGTGTCACATCATGATGTCGTTCTGATGATCTCTTTGTTCCATCTCTCATGACTTCATGTTTTCCATTAAAGCTGAATGCTAAGCAGACGAGCAGACACACACTGATTCTTTGTTTCTGAATTTACTCAAAGAAACAAAAAGTTCCATTTTTTTTCTTCTTCATCATCCCACCAGAGAAATATCACTCCTGTTTCACGTCTCATTGAAAAAAAAACACTTTCAATGGAGTTCAGATGTAGAGAATACTGACAGAAACACTTCCACTTGAAAGGCAGAGACCTCAGACAGAACCAGAGTCGTTGGACAAATGTGTCTCACGTGGGAGCTGAAGGACAGACCAGTCGATCACAGAGTTGTGATGAGTTGTGATTGGCTCAGAAATGACAGTTTTAATGTGTTGGCTCAGCTGTCAGGGAGACTTCAGCCTCTGTGCCTGTGACATATGTAGCTCTGAGTGAAAGTAGCTAGTGGAAGACGTTACATTTAATGAGCCGTTTGTCTTCTCGACCTGATGGCTGATGGTCCTCCTCTCTCTCTGTATCCTCTCCGGTCTCATGGTTTTTCTTCCCTCTGTGTGTTTGTAGAACCTGTGCATCGAGAACGCCTGCATCGCCGCTCACGATAAGACGGGCCGGTACGCCACCTTGTTCACCGTGGACAAAGTCCTCACCCCCCCGATGGGGACGGTGATGGATGTGCTGAAGGCCGATGACCGCTTCAGGTGAGTTCATGTCGGCCTGACTGAATACTGTCACAGCTGCTTGTGTTCCTGCTGAACTCTGAAGAACATGTGAGAGAGTTTCTAACCGAGGCGTCCTGCAGACTGTGAGAGAATCAAACAGAAACGGATGAGTCAGCATGTTTAGGACCTACAGAAGGTTTTGGGATTAGTGATGAGCACTCGGAGAGTTCAGCTGTGATGGATTAAACAGACTCCAACACTACCTCCTCCTCGTCCCACTAATGGCTCTCAGAGTGATGATCAAGCTTCCAGCTGTGATTTAGGTGGGCTGGAGGTACTTCATAATGATGGTGTACTTGCGCTGCTGTTTAGTTCTTTGAAATAGTTGTAGCGGAGAAATATCTCCCACTGCCGCTCGTCATTCTGTGGAAACTCTGATGGATGGAAACTGATGCAGGAGTGGTTGGTGAAGGCTGTCAGCCGAGGGAGGAAATTCAAGTTGAATAAATGAAGTGTTATGTCTAAAGAGTCCAAGGTGACGTCTTCAGTTCCAACAACAGTAAGAAAAACCCCAAAATATTCAGTCCACCGTGGAATAATCTGAGACAAGCAAATGTTTAACTGCAGCGACTAAATATCTTATTTTTGATTAATTAATAAATTAATTAATTGAAATCTGAATTTCTTGCATTGGAAGCAGATCTTTGTTCTAACTGTGAATGTTTAGAGTTCGAGACAGCATCCCTGAATTGTATGGATGTTTTTGTAAAGAGTGAAATTCAAAGTGTGTGTATTTTAACAGTTACCAACACAAACGGGATGGATCGTATTATTCTTTAAATGCCGGCTGTATTTATCGATGAAGTTTTCCTCTCAGCGATGTACGAGTCAAACCGTCCTCCTCTGGTTTCAGCGTCCTGGTCGGAGCCATCCAGACCGCGGGGATGACCGAGCTGCTGAACCAGCAGGGGGCGCTCACCTTCTTCGCTCCAACCAACGCCGCCTTCAGCGCCATGTCTCCGCCTGAACGCAACAAGCTGATGCGTGAGTTTATGTGTGAATTTTTAAATGTTTGATAATTACATCGTTTTTTGAGACGTGTTTTTTAGAACGATGCAATCTCTGTTATTTCAATGATCGATAGTATCAAAAAGTACCAAACCTTTAAAAAGAGGTCAGGTGTGTGGGAGAGGGATGAATCTGGATGAGTCTACACTGTACATAAACACTGGCATAGCACCATCTATCAATTTAGACAGTGTGCAGGGATTTGCCGCAATTTTTCTCTCAACAAGAAATGACCTAATGTTGGGTGCTCAGGACTTATTTTTTTTGTTGCCATGGTATCAAAACAGGTATCAATATCATCTGCTTATTATTAGAATCATATCCCAAATATTTAAAATTCTGGTACAATGAAAACCCTTCAGAGTGAAACTAATGTGTATGGATTCACAGCTGGAGGGTTTGAAGAACAGTTTAAGACTTTTATTTTTCTCTTCAGGAAGACATGTGTGTGTGTGTGTGTGTGTGTGTGTGTGTGTGTGTGTGTGTGTGTGTGTGTGTGTGTGTGTGCGTGTGTGTGTCTCCTGCAGCACCTTGTTTGGTCTGATCGCTCGGAAACATTTTGTTTATGTGACTCAGACTGAATGATTTAATCAGGTTTATTTAAAGTGTGTGCACAGGGATAATAAAAACAGGCACAGGGCTGTTAAGAGGTCAGCAACATTTTAAATAATAAACTAAAATTACTCAGATCATTTTTTTTTTTACAGTATTGTATTGTTAATTCCATTTATGCAATAGACTATTTATTAGAAATGGGCGTGACCTCAGTGACATCACCCATTGGTTTGTGGACCTGAGCTTTGAAGCATCAAGTTTGACAAGTTGGTCGCTGCCATGTTTTTTTGTTTTGTTTTGGGACCAGGAAGTGACCATATTTGGTCAAGTGGGAGAACCCTTACTCCTCTCCAGCTTCACCCACTTGACTTAAATATGTTCACTTCCTTGGACAATATGTTCTTACTGAAAACATAAACAGAGCTTCTTTTAGTACAGCTGAAAACCCTGAGCAACATTTTTTCAGTTCACCTTGTCAGTCACCGGTAGCCCCGCCCTAACGCCGCCCCTGCTTTTTGGTCTCTGTGACTCTGAATGGGATCATCTCTGTCTCCTAGGTAACCGTCAGGAGCTGTCAGCTTTGCTCAGGTATCACCTGGGGGACGGCATGCTGGTCAGTGGGGGAGTGAGCTCTCACACCAGACAGAAACCTCTGCAGGGAGAGAGACTGGAGCTGGGCGTGGTCAGTCCTCACACACAGACACACACACACACACACACACACACACACACACACACACACACACACACACTGCCTAACCTGCCCTGTCTGTGTTTCAGAGGAACTACACCGTATATGTCAACAGGGTCCCCGTTGTTGACGCAGATCTGATGGCGACTAACGGAGTCGTCCACGCCGTCAACAGTATCATCAAACCTCTGCGTGAGTCACAGCGCCACATCCTGCTGCCTTTAGAACATATATTTATATTATTTATTTATACTTCCAAAGTTTGAAGTGCATGCTCTCTGCAGAACACTGGCTGAATGTGTGTGTGCTTTTGTTTGTGTGTTTGTGCGTATGCAGCTCCTAAGGTGGAGCGAGAACAGGCTGACGGACCCGCAGCTCCACTCAGAACAGCTGCTTCCTCCAGGGTGAGAACACACACACACACACACACACACACACACACACATTTAAAACTCTGAAAATTAAACTAATCTAAGTGCTTTTATTTCTGGTTTTTAATGAATTTTCCCTTCTTTGGTCTCTCAGGCTGACTCAAAGGGCTTCAGGAATGGTGAGTTTGTCATAGTTTTTAAATGTTTTAAGTGTTTTTTTAAATAGCAGATATTGTCTTGACCTGCTCTCTGTGTGTAGTGCACATAGTTTGTTATGAATGCAAACCTTTAAGAATCAAAGCTGGCAGACTGTTAGGTTTCTAATGATTGTTTTTTGGGTATGTGGGTTTATTTTTTTCAGACGATCTTTTCCAGAAGGTGGTCCGGAGTCGCTCCAGCAGGACGATGAACAAAAGTCAGTAAATCTACAGAGAAGAAAAAGTCGCACAGAACATCTGAGGAAACCAAAGAACACAGCATTGTGCTCATCACAAAGTGTCAAAGGTCACAAGTACAAGATGTCTAACAATCCCCCTGAAATCCTCCAACACTGCCAACCTCTGTTCAGTGTTTGATGAACATTTTCATTCTGAAACTTCAAATGTAAACTCATCAGTGATTCATGGAGGCGCTCAGGCTCATGCAGGCTGCTCTGACCTGCTGATTGGTGTGTGATTAAAACAGAACATCAGTGGAATACACAGTTCATGATCATAGTCTAAAGTTCATTCATATAAAACACAAGTGTCCATTTGTTACACTGACAAACATGTTTATTACTGCAGGAAACAAATTCATCTGTGTCTTTAACTGCTTTTTTTAGTGAAACTAAACATTTAGCATCTCTGGGGATTGTTGAAATGCATTCTGGGAAATGTAGTAAACTTGGTATTCATTATGTGATTCAGTCTTGGAGGATCTGAGGAGGATTGTTTAGTCTGTGGAGAAATGAGAAAAAAACATTTTATATTTTTACTGTTTTTGTGTACTGTAAAGAAACATTAGTTTTGACTAAATGTCACCTTCTGAAGTTTGAACTTTTTCTCATGTAAAACTTTTGTAAAGTGTGTTGTTGTTTGTGTACTCTTGATTGTTGTGTTCCTGCAGCATGTCGCAGGACTGAGCTCCAAACCAACAAAGTAGAACCTGAGCTGACGTTTTTTTTTTTAGGATTTTTGTAAAAAAATAAAGCAGAACATGAGCTCTGAAATGTGAACGAGTCTGTGTGTGTGTGTGTGTGTGTGTGTGTGTGTGTGTGTGTGTGTGTGTGTGTGTGTGTGTGTGTGTGTGTGTGTGTGTGTGTGTGTGTGTGTGTGTGTCCACATAAAGGCCTAGGGGTTCAGCCTGGGTTCACATCTCTCTCTTTCTTTGGGTTTTGTAAAAAGGCTGCAGAGCGTCCACGCGTCACAGCCGTCATGCCAACTTAAATCATGTGTGATCCCGTGCACGTTTCCTGCACGTGCACGTTTCCTGAATGTGCACACTCCCTCAGCACGATCGAGGAGGATCAGAGTTATGAAATATTAATGTGGTCCAGGTGAGACCAACAGCAGAGCAGTCCAACAGAAACACAGATTCACTTTACAGAGTTTTAATGTCAGGCAGTGAACACCTCACAAAGGGAACCTTCAGTGTTCTCTGGAGGGAAAAATAAATCCCCCCCCTCCCTCCCTCCCTCCAACACACACACACACACACACACACTCAAGGTTCATTCACAGTCACACACAGGCCGACATTGAAGTAAAACTTTTTTTATTAGAAATCCATGCAGCAGATTTCGGTTCCAACTCTCGTTAACGATGTGTGAAAGTGTTTCAGGCTTCATCGTGAATAAAAACAGAGGAGAGGAGTTTAAACTCGAACCAGACCTGTAGAACAAAACAACATTTGAGGAAGAAATGAAGCAAACACAACGAAGCATGAAAATAAAATCAGTGTTTACACAGCATCACTTTCTGTTCGCTGCTTCTGTTCCTCCATCAGTCCGCTGGAGGTCTACAGATGAAGGCGTTACAGTAAAAACTGAGCAGCTTATGAAACATGATGCACACCAGTCAGTTTTGATCATCTGTTTCATTTTTACAATGCTTTCACGTCTCAGAGAAAGAGCATCATTTCACAGCATATCTCACACATAACTTTATTTATACAGCACATTTCATACGACAGGCGTAGACTCAATGTGCTTCAAGCAGAAAAATAAAAGGCAAAGAACACATACTGTAATGATAATCATGTAAAACCATGCAATAAGAAGACATATACTATAGATACAGAACATGAGATCAAAGATAAAATACTACAATATTACAACAACAACAACAAATATTTAAAAATTCGATAGTAGTTGTCCCATTAATCACTTAATTAAAACCTAACAAAGCGCTTGTGAGAAAAGACTTCTTAAAACAGGAATGATATGTTCAGACCTTTTTGGTTTGTGTTCAAATTTTTACTGCAGAATTCTGAAAAGTTTATTTTCCGTGTGTAACGACTAGAAATAAAGCATTAACTAGTTATTTAGAATCTGACTGTTGACAGGAAGCCTCTCGCTTTGTATATATTTTGGAGGTGATAAAAACGTTGGTGTAATAGAAGAAGTTTAAGACAGGAGGTCAGAACAGAAATGATCTCCATTTAAGAGAAAGATTAACAACACATGGGTTTAAGATCAATCAGAACTTTGGACATTCAAACATTCACTGTATATACATAGTCAACAAGTTGGGATGCAGGATCTGTTATCACTCAAAACATGGTGTAAAAAGGAATTATTGACAAGTCATTCTTTTAAGAAAGAGGTGCAAACTGTGCCTCCTCCTCTGTTGTTTTACTCCTCCTTTGTGTGTGTGGTTGTTTCCCTGTTTGTTTCTGTGTCTGGGTGTGATACTCACTCCTGCTGCACACCTTGAACCCATCCACTCATCAAGCTTCTGCAGTGTGAATATATACCCGGCTCTACACACCAGTCTTTGCCTGAGTTCAGTTCACCTCGTGGTGACTTTGCTGTGGTAAATCTAATTCTTAAGTTTTGGATCTTTTTTTGCTGCAAACTAACTTTTTTCGTTCCCTGTCTCGGGATCATCTTTCATCCAGAATCATCTTTCATCCAGAATCTCAAGTCCTGAGCCTCACCCGACCGTGTTCTCAGCTCCTGCCATCCACCACCACTTCAACTAAACATCTCTGCCTTCATCAAGTGCCATTCAATAAATAACTACGCATCGGAGGCTAGAAAGTAAAAGGAACAGAATTCATTTGATTCCTGTTTTTTTAATATTTTGGCTAGAACTCTCTCACAATCACCTTTATTGATTACAAGATTTCCTTTAGAAGCTGCCAGAGCCGTTTGGACTGACTGAACTGAAACTGAAGATCACTGATGTCTGCTGGATAAATACTCAGACTTCATTGCAGACATATTCTTGCTTTGCTTTGTTTGTTTTTGTCTGTTGCTTGTTTTTAAATATACATTTTCTGATTGGAACAAACTGAAACGGGCCTACAGGGCAAAGAGCTTTTATAACCAGTGTCACGTTTAAAGTGGTTTGGTGATGATTTCAATGTCTTTGTGCGAAAACAACATTTAAATGAAAAAGAGCAGACGCTGACGCTGACTGACTCCAGATCTATCATCTCTTGAATTATTAGATTTCTGAGCTTCTCTTTTATTGTAACTTCAGCTTAAAGAAACATGTTCAGTTTCTGTCTTTATTAAATCATCTCGTTTTATTTAACGAGAACATGGGAGCAGATTTCCTGACAGCCTGTCAGTCTGATGTCTGTTTGATTCTCAGCTGCAGCTGTTTAATGCAGAGCCGCTTTCAGCTGCAGAGCTGCTGCTCCTGCTCTCCTCCTGTGTTTGTGCAGAGATGATTGACAGCAGCAGATAATCAAGCACAGATGCTGCTCACTGCAGGACGTAAATCTGACTCTGACCAGGAAACAGAGACACGGAGACAGTATAGAGATGGTACAAAGACAGTACCGAGCTTTAGTCATAGGAACATTTGAACTTCTGCAACATTTAAATCAACTTGGTGCTGATTGTTCTGGCTGCAAGAAAATATCAAATGTAAACCATTTTGAACTTCTGCATTTTATTCAAATTATTGTAGAAACTCTCCATCAATTAAAGAGTTATGGAGAGGGCTGTTTAATCGCAACTTTTAGAACAAAAAAAGTCTGCAGATGAGGGGTAAAGTAATTTTAACTTTTACTTATAAGTTGCAATTCTGCGATATAAAATAATACATTACCCATAAAACTCCTGCTTTTTTTAAAATCCACTTTAAGTAAAAGGATCATAGGATGTTCTGAATAAACTGAGATGATGAACAGAGTGCAGAAGAGAAATAAGTTCCTGAAGTTCCCACAGTATTGGTTTGAATATTTCATATCACTGCCTCACACTGCTGACTGGTCATACTGAGGGTTGAGGAAATATTTGACTCAATTTAAAACATCTTGTGTTTGAAATGGGAACCATATTGTTCTCAAATAAACTGAACTATGTGAAATGCCTTTTTTAAAACTCCAACCAAACCTCCGATTGAAGCTGCTGAAATGTGTTGTGACGCGTGGAGTCTCTGAGACCCACAAAAAAACAAATCTTTATTCATACAGTGTTCGAACAAAATCAAATATTCATCAATATGATTTCAAACAGATAGTTAGTGTTCTGCTCCGTTTAGTGGCATCAGAGCGCCACCTGCTGCTCAGAGGGAGTCATCGCACTAGATTAAAAAAAAAAATCTGTTGATGATTGTGAAAGAACTCGCCAGCTTTTGTTTCTGTCTTAAAATTCTGTTTTATGTCTGAACAATGTCTGAATATGTACAGACAAGTTAATATCGATGTATTTATTTTATTTACAAAAAAATAACAAAAACAAAAAATCAAACAAAGAAATGCTGTAATTAAAAATATGTTGAATAAAACAAATAAAATAAAATCTAAACACAACATTATTAGCCAGAAAAGGAGTAGAAAGAAGTTCAAATTTATCTAATCCTACCCCGATATTTTTTTTTTTTTTTCCGCACACAAAATACAAAATATGTTGGGGCTGGAACTGAGATTCATTTGACAGAAGAATTAATTAAGAAAAAACACGTGCAAGAATTAATAGAAAAAGTTTCTCAGTTATCACATTAATTATTATTTTGTTTGTTCTGATACAGTTCGTCTATGGCAAAGACAAAAACATTATACAAGGATCTGAACTAAATTTAATTATTTTCTTTATAATTATAAAAATTCTTAAGTATTGAAATCAGTCTGCTTTAGAAAGGGAAAATCATAGACTGTAAATATTAAGGGCATAATACTGTTGTAGTTTGAATTAACGTGTTCCTGTGTATTTTGCTGTTGTATGTTCATCCTCTATAAGAATTTGTATGAACATTTTTTGTATTGTTTAAATTTGTCAATAAAAATAAAAATAAAAATAAAAATAAAAATAAAATAAAAATAAAAATAAAAATAAAAATAAAAATAAAAATAAAAATAAAAATAAAAATAAAAATAGTTGTAGTTTTTTTTGTTCCTCCAGCTCACCAGGGGGCGCTGTAAGCTAAGATTCCAGTTTCCTGTGTGGTGTCACATTGATTTCAGTCCGTCACGAACAACAACACATGTGAGTGGAGCTTGCCGGAGAGCGGAGATGTTTTCCTCTCTGAAAGACAAAGTCGGGCAGGTTTTGTTGCCAGGAGATGAATTCTCCTTTGACACCGAGGACACCATCTCCCTCACGACTCCCGTGAAGCCGGAGAAGGTGGTGTGTGGTCCGGGTCTGAGGCGGAGCGGAACCGACTGCAGGTGTGTAAAAGCGGCGTCCTGCGACACAAAGCTCCCAACATGTTCTGGATGGACTCACAGCAGAGGAGGGTGAGTCTGCACACACAACACACAACACCAAAGACATGTTTACTGAGGAATACAACGACTGGCACAACATGCACGACCTCAGCAGATGATGTGAGGCGATGAGGACCCTGAAGGGGAATTTTCTGGACAGGTGTTGGGAGTAGTGCATGCTGGGAGTTGAGTGTGTGTGTGTGTGTGTGTGTGCCCTCAGTACGTCCCGGTTAAAGGAGAAACAGTCATCGGCATTGTGACAGTCAAATCAGGAGACATCTTCAAGGTGGACTTTGGAGGAAGTGAGCAGGCGTCTCTGTCCTACCTGGCGTTTGAGGGAGCAACCAAGAGGAACCGCCCCAATGTCCAGGTGAGACAGTGAAGGACACAATGTGAGAGGGGGTGTACCGCTCCCTCCCTCACCCTGTTTATGTAACACTTCCCTCCCCTCTGTGTGTTGCAGGTAGGGGACCTGGTGTTCGCTCAGTTCGTGGTGGCCAATAAGGACATGGAGCCGGAGCTGGTGTGCGTGGACAGCGGGGGTCGGGCCAATGGGATGGGGGTGTTTGGAGGAGGAGGTCTGCTCTTCACCGTCTCTCTGGGACTCGTCAGAAGGTAAAAATCACACTCAAACATTTGTCTCTGCCTCCCTAATAGACCCCTAATAACCCCCAATCTGCCCCCCCCCCTCCCCTTCAGACTGCTGTCCCCCCAAAGTGACCTCATGCAGGACCTGCAGAAGCTGTTCCCCTGTGAGCTGGTGGTCGGGATGAACGGCCGCCTGTGGGTCCGCTCCTCCAGCACCCAGCGGACCCTTATCATTGCCAACCTGCTGCAGAGCTGTGAGACCATGACGGCCCCCCAGAGGAAGGCGCTGTTCGCCAGGGTGGCAGAGGGGACGCTGTAGAGACCCCTAGAGACATGCACTGTTTACCAGGGTGGCACAGGGGGCACTGTAAGAGACCCCAGAGACGGGCTCTACACACCAGGGTGGCAAAGCGGACATTATAGAGCACCCAGAGACGGGCGCTGTTCAGGAGGGGGTTCTCCAGAAACTGATACTGGATCAGAGTTTAAAGCAGTCTGAGGGTTTGTTTGCAGGTTATCCTAATATAGACTCTAAACATCAACATTTAAAGGCTTTTATGTGATTTTTTTTTTTTCGCCCTTGAGCACCAGCATGAAACCAAATAGCGATCTTTATTATGCTCGTATCTTCACACTGCATGTAAATTTACCTGAAATGAGCGTGATCTAGAAACACAGTTAAGCAGTGAGTACAGTATGTTATTCTTCTTTTCTCTAGTCCCTCAATTAAACAACTTTTATACTCGAGGGGAGGAGTCAGCCGGCCGTCCGGGCGATGTAAACAAACTGAAGATAGGACTCTGAAAACTCTGAAAGCATCACAGACAGTGGGACTCGGGTGTTACACCCATTGTAGACAGTCATGACTCACAGAGATATTTCAGAGGATAGACTTGATTTATATTATATTTAAGTGAAAAATCACATATTAAGCCTTTAAATGTATTCTGGATGTTTTGTTTTTTCTAAACTATTTCACATTGTTCATCTGTCAACACCATCAGGGATTTGCGCTACACCTTCGACTGCCTTTCTCTATTAAGTTTGTATTCTATATGTTTTTTTGAACTTCAGATGTGTCCTCAGAGTGGTTAATCCATTAACTTTTATTTTTTACCAAACAGACACACATGTTTTATATTCGTGTGTTTTGTAATAATGAAAATAAAACTTTTTCAAAGTCTAATTTATTTCTGTGTGTTTTTTGTTTAGAAGAAACTAGAGGTTACTTTATCTTTAATTTATCTTAACACTGAAATCACACTGGACTCTGGAAGGTGTTTAAAAGCTTTGAAACATCACTTCATTTGAAATGTTTACAGTTCATTTAAGTTTATCAAAAATAAAATATTTAAAACTTAACTGATAGATTTTATTTTCACTGACGGATTCAGTCAGTCTGCCGACTTTTAAGTAATTGTAAAATGTACAGTATGTATACAACATATATTGGGGAGGACTCTGGATTTGTGTTGACTTGGAGCCACAATATGTGACTCTGTTTTGTAGTGCATTTGTAGTCCGTGTCGACCATTCACGTATCAGCAGGCTTTGGTTTAAACAGGAGGAACAGTCAGTGTGGACAGCAGGAAACTTGGAAAATGACTCAGGCCAAACGCTAGTTGTGCAAATGACATCCAGGCTCCTATCATTACGATGTTTTATTGATCCCTATAAACATATCTGTATAAAAGTGAAGCTAACAATCTGTTATAGATCAGACTGCTCGACACTGTCCTTAAAGACAATCAGCGTTTCCTTACACATTTTAAAAGTTGTTTACTTCTCCCCTTGAGGACACACCTGAACAGCTTGACTTTTTCCTTTTTATGAATCTGCATCATGATGTTATTTCAACAAACTTGAGGCTTGTTAATGTGAGTAAAGCACAAGAAAAGTTGTTTATTTTTCAGGTTCATACTGCTGAAGTAATCCAGAGTGACGCCTCTCTCTAACGTGTCATTAAACTGAGACTCACCAAAAAAACAAGAGCAGGATGTGATAAACCCACAAGAGATTTTATTTTGCAGTCATAAAAACACTGCCCAGAAGGAAGGAAGAAGAAGTAATTTAATGCTTACTGCTTTCTGATAAAGTTCTCCTAGTCTGATGTCCCTAAAAGCATCAACAGAAAATCTTAACTGTAATCTGGTTTGATGTTTTAATCTAAAAAAAAGTTTTTAATGATTTTATTTTGTATTTTTGTGGTGTCTTAGGCTAAGGGTTGTTTACTTCCGGTTTGGATACAAAACCTGCTTTTATTTTTGAAAGAAAATGAAGAACTTGTGGTGGACTTAAAGTTACATTAACTCAACAATGGAACAAATACGGATCGACAAGTAAACGAAAAAGAGCTCAAGAGGCCGGTTAAAAAAGTGAAATGTTTGATGTCATGACGATAAAATCACTTTGGACTTGTCAAATGAGCGATCTAGGAGTGAAATGTCAGGGGGCACTGCTGTCTGTGTGGTCGCTTCTAAAGTCACAAAATAGCACTTAATCAATGCGGGAATTACCTGTCGGACCTCAACTGCATCGCAGTTAAAGCTGAGAGCCCCGAGTGTTAGATGAATTTAATGCATATCTGATTCAAGAGGTCAATAAATGATCACAAGAATTCTGCCGAACAAAAAAATAAAAATCAGACTCCAGTTCCTCATCATCAATACATCTTTATGCTTACACATGAATACACACTGATACACCTCCACCACCTCCACCGCATGCACGCACGCACGCACACACACACACACACACACACACACGCACGCACACACACACACACGCACGCACGCACGCACGCACGCACGCACACACACACACACACACCAGTTCAGCCATTTACACTGGATCCACTTTAAGGCACATAACAGCTGATCAATCACTGATCATCAATAAACAACATGTTTTGTCTGCGTAGCAACAAACAAACAAATAACCCAACACAGCTAAACCTTAACGTTGAGAACAGGATCAGGCGATGCAAACATTTATACACACACTCTCTGATGGTTTCATTGACAGCTGATAAAACCAGTTTGGTCGTACTGATCAGTGATCACCTGCAGCTGTCGGAGGATGTTTTTCAAGTCTTTGGTACTAACAGCTGAGTGACTGATCGATTCATGAATCAATCAACCAACCACTCAATAAATCAACAAATCAAATACATCCATCCGTGAATCAATCAATTAATGCATCAATCAACGCATTCATCCATCCACCAGTCTATCAATCAATCAAGTCATTCCTTCATCATTGATTGATTTTGGTTCCAGCTGATCAGTTTTTACATTTTTAATAAACTTTGGGATTGTTTTAATATAAAGAGACAATCAATAAACATCTGTTGATCAACACACACACACACACACACACACACACACACACACACACACACACAAAAACAGGGTGTGGAGTTCAGATTTGGTTCTGACCTGGTTCCACTGATTATCGATCTGTAAGGATTAACTTTGACCCTGCAGAGTTCTGGTCCTCTCAGCTGTTTCCACGGCAACCTCACAGAGACCAGGACCAGCCTGAGCTGTGTCCATCAGTGTGTGTGTGTGTGTGTATGTTTGTTTAAATAACTGACTGATGGCGAGCAGAGACATTAAAGCAGCAGTGTTGATTTGGTGCCTTCTAGTAGTGAATGTAGTCAGACGTGGTTTGAAACACAGCCGACTGTGTTAAGAGTTTCCATCTTTAGATTTAGTCATTCTAACAAAAGTCAAGCGTCTGTATTTTTAGGCATTAAATCACCTGATATGAACAGACTGATAAGGATTATAAGCGAATAATCAATATTGTCTGACACACTGTTTAATCTGAGCTGGACATCTCTATTCCGGATTTATTAACTCTTACTGCAGACTGATTTCATCTTAATTATTCTCATGACTTGTGTCTGTTTTGCTGTTTTATTTAACACTTTTTTATATAATTATATGAATTTTTTTTTCTTTAACTTTAACTCCTGAAAACATACAAATTCTTCTGTTGCTTCGTCTGCCATCTTATTGCATCTTTTTGACGTCGTGTCCTGCCTCCCACAAAACATATTCCTAAAATGTCTTAAAATATCAATTACATTGTAAAAGTGTTGTATTGTTTTAGCCATTTAAAAGTTGCCTCTCTCATTTTTGGATCAAATTTATCACAAGCCTGCTCAAAGCTCAAACACAAAGTGGAGGTTTAACACCAGCTCACCAGTCGTCTTCTTGGGCGGAGCCTGCTGTCGTCTTGGAAACCAGCAGGGGTCAGACTTCTGAAGCAGTTTAATGACTTACCATAATATTTTGGTTTTTATTCTAAATTTAAATTATTTATATCGATCACCAGACCTTAACCCACCCTGATCATTGCCCATAATTCCCCACCTGACCATGTGACTCAGCAGCCCTGATTGTCTCAGAGTGATTTTAAAAATAAAAGACTCGTGCAAGCAGCTGATTGGTTACAGTCATCTTCCTATCAGAGGTGAGAATTCAGTCTGTCAGAGGAATCACAAATGTTCAGTCCGTCTGTTTGTGCAAAAAGAAAAAACCAGCTGATGTCCAGCAGGTCGGATCACTCCGAACTTAAAGTTTCAAGTGTCAAAGGCACGTTTGGTTTTTTACTGTCAGTCTACACTCAGTCCACTCCGTCCACTCTCTCATCATCATGGTTTCCCCACATCCACAGTGATCTTAGTGAACAGCTCGAGCTTCTCGATCTTCACCACGCGGTACGACAGAGAGTTGATCCCGTCTTTCCACATCGTCTCTTTGGTGTGTTTTATCCGGTTAAACCTATCAGGAAACAGTAGAAGAAGAGGGGTTAGCAAAGGCGGCCAATTTGAGTTAAGGTCAGAACCCTTCGCTTTAGCTCAACCCCCGTTGCACTCGTGCAGTAACCTCAATTAATCAGGAGTAAACCTTGCTTTTGGTGCATTCAAGTGGTGTCGGACACATTGGAAAAACGTGTTTCCGAGTTGTAAAATGCACATGAACACCTGCTCAGGTCGGAGAAACAACTCGGAAACTCGGAAAAGAATTATGTCCCCGACTTCCCGATTTGACATCAGAATCATCATCACATGAGGGGCAAAATATGTTTTCTTAAAGTTAACATACTTTTCATTAATTCACGTATTGCACATCCACTTCTTGCTCAAATATAACTTGCAACATTTACATTTCACAGATCTTCTTCGTAGCATCAACGCTGTTTTTTTGCTGTTGTTACGACATTCCGACTTTCTGATCTGAAATCACGTGAACACACTTAAGTCGGAAGAACGACTTCCCAACCCGGAAACTTGGACCACCGTAGCAGCACCTGAATGCAGCATATGTCAAAGCCTTTTACCCTGTGTTTTTGTGAGGATCACGTTTGTCAGTTATATCAAATAATCCACCATAGAAGTTTCACCAAGCACTTTCAGCATCATCAGCAATGTGATCATGAAACATCCCTGCTCATCAAACTGCTTCAACATGCAGCTTGGTTTTGGCAGTGTAAGTGTTTATAACTGTGGCAACAGCACAGCAGTGTTTCATTTCGTTGACGTGAAATATAATGACCAATGATTGTCAACAATCCTTTTTCCATGATGAAGACCAAAAAGAATCGCAGACAAACTCCTGCATCTGCATCTGCCTACATTAAACTAATAGAAAGGTCTCTCTCTCTCGCTCACAGAAGCTTATGGTTAAAAATATGACTAAAGACCTGATGTTTTTTTTTCTGTCCATGGGGCACGCAAACTAATTACTCGGACTTGGTGCCCCAAAGATCTAGAGTTTTTTTCAGCTTCTGTTGAACATTCTTTTTTTAAAGTATCAAACTTTTTGATGATACATTTAAATAATAATATAAATAGTAAAAAATAACAAAATAGAGAACCTCTTGCAGCTCACATGCAGTACCCTCACTGCCCACCAGGGGGCTGCAGCCTATGCTGTGTGTCCAGCAACTAATTTGATTTCCTGCCCTGTGGCTAAAAGTCCTGTGTAGACGTGTGTGAAGCGATTACCTCTGAGGATTGGGCTCGTTCTTTTTGTCTCTCTCGTGTCGAATCATCCGACATTTCCCTGTCTCCCCGCTCGGCCTGGAGATCGTCATTCCTTTGGACGACAGCCTGGAACAAACATTGATTTTAGCATTTAGGATTATTTGAGTTGACACTTTTCATTTCAATGATAAACTCTCCTGAAGGTCAGCCTCTCACTGTCATGTTTTCAGACACTTAAAATAAAGAAAAATGATCAGTGTGTCAATAAATCTCACACACACACACACACACACACACACACACACACACACACACACACACACACACAGAAAAGAAAAGTTCTAGTTTTTTACAACAGAAAAACTAGAAAGTGTTCTGATCCTGAAGAACATTGTAGAGTACAGGAAGAGGAAACGGACAGATGTGTGTGTGTGTGTGTGTGTGTGTGTGTGTGTGTGTGTGTGTGTGTGTGTGTGTGTGTACCTGTTGTAGATGTCGTCGTCCTCACCGCCCCACCCCCAGTAGTTGTTGGGGAAGCCATTGATCTTCAGGAACTGATCCTTACTCATCGAGGACACACCCCCAAAATACTGATTATAAGGTAACCTGTGGAAACAAACATCCAGATTATGGTTGTTTACAGCCCCAACTAGTGGCAGGTGGCTGTGCTAACAACATTTGACTCAGATTAATAAAAATTAGGGCTTTCAAACAATAACAATCATTTATTACTCTCGCAAGGGAAATTCAATTCTACACTCTGTTGTTGAACAAGCTGCACACACATAGACTGGAATACACACACATGCACAAACAGGAACCTATGGACATGCACTAATAGAGAGATGTCAGAGGGGGATTCCCACAGCGAGCACTGCTGAAGGGGGGGGGGGGTCCGCACCAGGACCTTACACTACGTCCTAAGTGGAAGGTCAGGGGTTCAATCCCCAGCTCCTGCAGCAACATGTTCGATGTGTCCCCTTGGGCAAGACACTTAACCCCAAATTGCTCCCACTCACTGCTTCGTCAGCAGGCGTATGAATATGTATGGGTGGCATTAGTCACTTCTGAGGGTCACTTTACATAGCAACCTGCCATCAGTGTGTGTACCTGAAGACTAGAAAAGTCCATTTACCATTTAACTACATGTGTGTATCTGCTGCCCTGAGTGTCTCTTACGCAAAAACAAGCAGTAAGGAGATAAACGTTTTCAAACTGTCAGATTAAAAACCTGCTCTGTGTGTGTGTGTGTGTGTGTGTGTGTGTGTGTGTGTGTGTGTGTGATAACAGATAACAGGATGTAAGAAGCCTGACACAGGTGGTGTTTCTTCCTCTGTGGCGTCTCTGTCAGCACTCCATTTCAGAACTTTCCGCCACATGCACACTGCTCTCACGGTGTACTCCGTCTTAAGTCACGGCCACAGCTAAGAGAAGCTCCTTCGCTAAGGTCACAGGATCAGATACAGCAGCAGTGCCAGATGGAGCTCCCCTCACTTCCACTCAGGAACTTAATATAACCATGGTTACATGTTACTCAAGACAGGAAAGTGAACTTACAGCCTCAAGACCTGCCCACACTCAGAATGTTTCAGTTTAATTTATCATACTCTTTTATCCAAATGTTTGTACATCTTTAATTAAGGATTTTCATAAAAAGAGCTGGGTCTTCAGGTTTACTTAAAGCTAGAAAGGGACTCTGCAGATCCAATGGAGCTTGGTCATTCATTCCATCATCGGGTTACGACAGAGGAGAAAAGTCAAGCTAGAGACTTATGGCACATTTGTGGAGGTTGGACCAGACGCCTTTCATTGGCCGAGGGAGTATAGACCTTCATTAAAGTTTAAGCAAAGAGGAGCCGTTTTTGTCGCTCTTTTGTTAGCAGGCAGCAGGGTAGTTAATTTAAAGCGAGCAGTAACTGGGACACAGTTGAGGGATATGAACAGTGGAGTGACATGTGGCGCTTTGGGTAGGTTGAAGACGCGCTGCACTGCTGCGTTTTTGTTCATCTGCAGGGGTTTGATAGTGCATGCAGGAAACCCTGACAGGAAGGTGTTGCACTAGTCAATGCGTGATAATACAAGAGCCTGTACCACAAGCTGTGTAGCGTGTTCTGACAGTTTGGATCTGAGCTATCTGATGCTGCACAGGGCAACTCGACAGGACCGCGACAATCGAGGCCACTTGAACCTAACATGTGAACTGATTATCAGTCTTAACATCTAGGTTCCTGCAAACTGAATGGGCATGCGTTTGGTTGGTCCTGGATATATATTTGTGGTTGTATAGAGGGATTGGGATGACAAGAAGCTCATCCTATCATCATGATCCATTTCTGACAATCTGAATTGCTTCAGCGGTCAAAAACCTTTAACCCTTCCAGGATGAAACACCAGTGACTTCCTAACATCATATCTGAGCTGCAGTTGTACAGAGACACCATCAGTAAATTAAAAAAAACTACAATTAAATGGTTTTAAATGGAGACAATACATTCTATCGGGTTATGAGGTTGTATTTTTCTGTGTGTACCTGAAGCCGAACTTGTCCATGGACACAGACAGGTGTCGGGGTTGGCTGAAGCACTTGTAGGTGTTGCGGTCGTCCATGGGGATCAGGTCCACGTCGCTGAACACAAAGCACTCGTAGTCGTACTCCTTCAGAGCCTCAGTGTACCCAATGTTCAGCAGTTTGGCCCGATTAAAGACTTCTTCCCCATCCTGAGGGAGACACACACACACACACACACACACACACACTTTTTAGCCACTTTTTAGTTAGAATTTAGCGTATTGGAAAGAAGAATTTAGGTCTGATTATTCTGTGTGAACATTAACAAATAAAGAAACAGACGTTAGTCACAAAACTTCTATAAACTACTGCTTAAAGGATAAATTAGTGATATCATAAAAGTTTGAGGACAAGCAGCAGCTCAATGTTCAGAAGTCTAAAACAAACAGATGAAACCATTAAGAGGGATCATGAGCGTAGAATTATTCATCTGCAAATTAAAAACATGATGACAGTTAGAGTCAGCTTTAGCTCGGCACCGTTTGTTTAGTTCCTCACCTGTCATCTGATAATTATTCAATAATTATAAAGAAATTAATCTAATACACACACACACACACACATACACGCGCGCACACACACTCAGAAGCTAAACATTCAAGATAATTAAACTCTAAAGTGACTTCAAAGTGAAGTAGTCCTTCATCTATTCATAAAAGTCATCAATCATGTCTCTGTTTAATCATCTGTGGGTGTGTCTGTCTGTGTGTGTGTGTGTGTGTGTGTGTGTGTGTGTGTGTGTGTTCAGTGTGTTACTGACTGGTTGATCACAACCTTCCCTTTGATCAGACCGCTTTGACTGGCTCAGTCTTCAGGACTTCATTAACACTTGTTGGTTTGAACTTTTATTTCTCTTTAAAATATTGATTCTACAATTCATTTAGCAGACGCTCTTATCCAGAGCAGCGTCAGGAAGGGCAAACAAACAGCTTGAAGTCTGATCCGACACACAGGTGCTGACAGGCAGTGTACAGAGACAGAGCACTATAACAAATATCTAGATATATTCTGTATATCGTTATCTACGACAACATCGGCAGCTGTTCCAGTCAGCATCAAAGTCATACTAAATATAATCTTTAGGTATTAATGAAAGAGCTGGATATCTAGGTATTCTTTTAAAGGTCCAAAGGGACTCTGCAGATCAAATGTTTGGTAGTTCATTTCACCATTACAGAGGAGAAGAGTCTAGCTTGAGACCTAGGGCCCTGCTGTAAAGGTTGGATCAGCAGCTGTCATTTGCAGAGCGAAGTGGACATGAGGGAGTGTAGACTTGATGATAGCGTTTAAGGTGGGAAGGAGCCGTTGTTTGTAAGACAGCAGCAGGGTTTTAAATTGATGCGAGCACTAACTGGGAGCCAGGGGAGGGAGATGAACAGCGGAGTGACATGTCCTAATGATGTACTGATGTTATGTTAGTTCAGTAACCTCCTCGAGCGTTGCCATGTGTGTTGTTTAAATCCAGCTCATCAGGTAGTTTGTATACAACCTGAGCTCTCTGGTGTGTCTCTGGAGGTATCCTGTAGTACCACATGTTTTGAATAGCCAAGTGTAATTAAAACATGTTCATGACGCAGCCGGTTGTCTATGTGAAAACATTGTTACATTTCAAGTATACGTCTACCCTTAGATCTGCATGTAAAACATGAAAATATGACTTTGAATGAATGGATATAGGTTACACTGCACATGCTCATTACTCTCAGCTGAGACACTATTTACACATTACACAGTCTGCACTAATTAACTATCACTATAATCATACTGTGATTTAAACATATTTACTGAGAAACACACTGGAGAATAAGGACGTCAACATTTTCAGATACCTTGATACTCTTTAAGACACACGTTTAAAAACCATACAATCTGTCATTATAATGATCGATAGTGTCAGAAAGTGCCAAATCTTTAATAAACTACATCTATTATATAAGACAGGTGTGAAGCATAAGCTGTGTAATCCATCGAACATTGCAGGCAAACTCCTGCACACTGTCTGAACAGGAACAATGTATTTGTGCACTAAGACAGTGTGCAGTGCAGTTTTTATTGTTGATTAGAGACAAATAATTTCCATATATTTTGGTTCAAAGACTTCAAATTGTGTTGCCTTGGTATCAAACAGGTATCTACTTGTTTCACATATCCAAGTTTAAAATTCCAGTTTCACAAACACATGTTTTAATTGAATTACTATTTTTCATTTTCTATACTTTATTAATCCCCGAGGTTTTACGCTCTGTTATTGAGCGTCATGTTTCTCACTCACACAGGCACAAAACACACCAATGCACAAGCAGGACTTGTGCATATGCATTCATGTGGAGATGTCAGAGTGGGGCTGACAGGCCTCTTGCTGTCTGTCTGTCGGAACAGTCTTCTCGGGTTTCTATGACAGGTATTTGACTGCAGGCGCAGGTTGCTAGGTGATGGACACCTGCGCCAAGCTCTCAGGTGTGAGGTGTTGTTTACTACCTGAAGAGAATCGCCCCGACACGTTCAACTATGAACACAGGAGTCATTAAAGAAACATGAACCCTCATGTAAGACCAGCCACTGAGATCACTGAAGTTACATAGCAAGAGATTAAATAAAAAAACACATTAAATAACGAAGTATGTATATATCTCAAAGGTTCCCATGGATTGTTAGATGGAACAGCCTGCTGCTGTTGACCCCTCTGACTACAACAGCTACAACTCTTTATATCAGCTTTAAATCTATTATCATTAATATAAATGTTAAAGTGAATCAAAGAGCTGCTCAACATTAACATTAAATCATTACTCCCTGTTTCATGCTCAAGGTTTCTGCCTGTTAAAAGGCTTTTTTTTGGGGCACTCTAACTGTGCTAAATATTGCTTCATGTTGTGCTCATGATGGATTCACGTTGTTAGGTCTTTGTAAACAACATTAGAACAAAGAGTAAGGTCTAAACCTGCTGTTTTGTAAAGTGTATTAGCATTTGTTATGAGTTGGTGCTATACAAATAAAGATTGATTGATTGAGTTGATTCATCCTGTTTTCAGTGATCACATCATTTCAAACAGATGTTTATTCTGTGACAGTTTGGATATAATCATTCAGACAAATTGAACTCTCTCTGACCAAGGATCAGCATGTGTGGTTTTATCTCACCTTCATGATTTCATTAAATTATGACTATGACTAAGCTTTTTCATTCATCATGTTTTGTCATATTGAAATAATAAATATTCATGGAAATGACATTCCTTTTTGCCTCTTTACCAAGTGAGAATTTGTTGTTGGAAAATGAAGCTGGTGCCTAAGTGTAATGCACTTCAGTTTCTAAAGTGTCCACTTGAAGCTGACTCCAAAAGCCAAGAATCTGGAAAGAGCCCTGTGTTAAAATATCCAGCTTTACAGCAGAAGAAAACTTGTTTTTAGCCTGGGGTAAAAAGCACTTTTGGTCTCTATAGCTCTTTAATGGTACACACTGTAAAGGAGGTCCATTTTTATATCAACTGTTTTATAGTCTTACTGTAAGTTCAACAATGGTGGTTGCGATATTGAAAACGCTGACTCGACTTAACTTTAGATCAATCCATAAACAGAGAAAGAGATGAAGTTGGGCTTAAGGCGCCTTACAAACCGCTGCCACACGCCCAACTGTAAGTCAAATCAAACCCTAAGAATGCAAATATATTTACATATAGTTCTTTCAATTTGTATTATTATTTAAAAAAACTAATTTTTAGCAAAAATGCTTTTAGTTAGTTACCCTGGATTTATCCTCTGCAGATTAAAGTGTGCTCAGAGGCGAGTACGACCAGCTCAACCTATCAGTATCACTGACTTTACGTTCAGTTTTTTACAAATTGAGACATTTCTGGATCTTTTATAACAAATTTTCTACAGGACAACTCTTTAATTATGCCTTGGATTAATTAACCATAGTAAACATATGACTGATGAATTAAAAAAAGTAAAGATACTGGCTGGCATCTCTATATTAAAATGATAAAGTGTAGTGTAAACAGCCTGCAGTGTGTGTTCACTGTGAGTCATGTGATCAGACACATCCGATCAATCATTAACATGTTTCTGTCCACAAAAAAAAGGAAAGTTTGATCTTTCCACTTTCAGTTTGAATCATGAAATTAAACTCCAAAGAGGTTAGTACAGATTCAAAGAAAATTCAGTGTAACAGTTTAAAGATAAGTTAGACAACAGTCAGAGTTCAGCCAGAAGAAACAAAGAGTTAAATACAGAAAGAGAGAAAAACACAGAAAGAGAAAAACACAGAAAGAGAAAAACAGAAAAACACAGAAAGAGAAAAACACAGAAACAGAAAAACACAGAAATAGAGAAACAGAAAAACACAGAAAGAGAAAAACAGAAAAACACAGAAATAGAAAAGAAGAAGAAGAAGAAGAAGAAGAAGAAGAAGAAGCCTGATTTACCGGAGCAGCCCCCTCTGACAACACGTGCTGCTATTGACTGAGACCAAGCAGGGGGCGGTGTCAACGTCTCCAGCGACCACAGCCATTGGTCAGAAATGCCTGACATGCAGAGGGAGGAGGGGCAGTGGGATGCGGTGAGTGAGTGAGGGAGGAGGAGTGAGGAGGAAACTGCAGTTACAGGGAAGGAGGTGGCAGGAGGAGTGAGGAGGAGGAGGAGGACAAACAAGAGAGAGGAAGAAGAAGAAGAGATGTGAGTCACAGACAAACAACAGAAGAATTAAAATTGTGAGGAGTCCGAGCTCCGTCTGCTTTAAGGTTATCCATCAGATCTCTTTGTGGTGTTAAGAACTTCATGCACTTAACCAACTCTGTCACACACACACACACACACACACACACACACACACACACACACACACACACACACACACACACACACACACACACACACACACACACACACACACACACACACACACACACACACACACACACACACACACACACACAGTCTTAACTATAATGACAATTTTCAGCCTTTAAATCAATTCTACGTGTAGTTAGATACATTTACAGTAAAGGTTGGCAAAGTATACACATTACATTTTCTAAACTTTTTGAGTCCACATGATTCTAAACGATACAATCTGATCTATTTTAATGAATAACAGAATCTAAAAGTACCAAACACATCTACATGTAGATGACGACATTTCCATAAGGAAACATTGCCATGTGTTTGTGCAGTTTAGACATGTGCACTAGTTTGTCGTTTTGTAGAATTTAAAACAATTGTGGGAGTCTTGGACTTTATAATTTTACCATGACCCATGTTAATACTTAATGACTCCTTGCAGTGGACCATTTGACATGCAGTGTTTCCCCTACCATTATATTAGCCCCCCCCCGAAGGTCTCTTGCCTTTATTGTAGGGATAGGATAGTGGATAGAGTCGGAAAAAAGGGAAAGAAGTCATTTAAGGATACCTTTCTGATAGAAAAGGACAGCTGTCATTAAAAGTAACCCATGAACACCAAGATTCCTTCAAGTGTTTGTGTTGGCCCCCCCCAACGCTGTAAACCTATGGGGAAACACTGACATATGTGAGGGTAAGGTGAGCAGAAGTTAACTGGCTGAAGAAGACTGTGGGATTAGAGTAGAAGAAGGCAGCAGAGTGAAGTTAAACAGCGGTGAAAAGTCAAGAGATGCACTGGGCGCTTAACAAAACGAGCTAAAATGAAGAAGCTGCTTCAGCTGTTTTTGCTGCGACCAGAGAGAAGGTGGAGGATGAACTCCGGCCAGCAGAGAGAGTTGTACTCACCTGCGATGGGTGGACTTCATCGGGCACAGAGTCCTAAATGACAATCACTGCATATTTAATTGACAAGACGGACATCCTTTCCTATGTACTACAAACTGATGTGCTGAACAAGACTTTCAATACAAAAGGAAAAGTTATTTCTGTCAAATACTAAAATGTGTATGTATTTGATATCTTTTTAAAGATATGTGTTTTTTTAATACAAATATTTTCTAACAGTTATTTGGTTCCTTAAAAATATAGTATTGTTTCATCTTAGTTTTTGTCATATCCTCTATCACTGACACTTAATTGAAGTGAATAAATGAATGAAATTCTGCGCTTTAACTAAAGTTAATCAGATATCGTGATATAAATCATACCATGCCAAATATTGATTATCCAAGTATCATTAAATTATCATTATCCCGTGCCACGTATCACATATCGTATTGTATCGTAATGTGAGCTATTCTGTGATTCCCTTGCCTAATATAGACGAATGATTGGTAAAGAAAATACTGGTGAACAGACAACAGAATGAAGCAGCTTCATTACAAGTATGACAAGCACACCGCTCACGGCTGTGCTCGACTTTCCCCCGAATAACAGGAGGATGTATCGTAAGTATTTACCACAGGAACATCTGACAAGATAATCTCTCAAACATCACAAAAATCAGGATGCTTAGTATTGTCTGAAGGAGGGGATCAGGCCCAAAAAGGATCGATTATCTTTTCTTACCTTTGATATCCGACTGCCCACACTATAACACTGGTGTCTAATTTTAAGTTTATTCTAGTTACCCGCTTAGTCAGCCTTGTAACACAGTGTAACATGCGTTTTTATAGTTCACATAATGTATAATATAGTGTTTCTGTATACTTAGTGCCTTAGATTTTACACATTTCAAAACAATGCTAAGCACTAATAAATCAAACTGTAAGATTTCCTCTCTAAACTCTGCTGTTCAAAAGGTTTCCTCATGTTTAACATTTAAAATGTCGGTAACACATAACCTTTAATCAAGCTCAGAGTAAACTACATCTAAACGAACGGATGGAACTCAGACCTGGAGCAGAGCTGATGCTGTAAAATCATGTTTGGCTCTTAAACTCTCATGAACATCAGAGTGTGACGATGCTTTTACTTGAGAGTAAACTTAACTCCAAAAGTTACTGCCAATAAAAAGGACAGATGTTTCAAATTAAAAGTCCTCCAGTAACTCAACAGGCAGCCTTTTTTCCTCGCTGGAGGGTTTTGATCTTGAACATTTGCAGGAAGTGATCATCCAACTTCCTGAGGTTTCACTGACAGAAACGTGACTGTAATCAATTATTGTTTGGGGCCTGTGTCCACTGTTTGTTGTGCTAGCTCACGCCCACGACCTCAGTTTCAAAGGGCTTCTCACCGGCGCTTTCTGTTGATATGGTTATGAAAGTTGCAGTTCCGCTTTGCTCAGTAGTGACCATTAGGTATATTTGAAATAGCTGAGTCATGCTTAATGCTTAATTTTTGCTTTACTTCAAAGAAGAAAATGAAAATGTTGTAAATGAATCGTGTCCTGGCATTAGCCGGACATTAGTCCGATAAGTTTCTTCTCCACCATTGTTGAAGTTAAAAAATGTTAGCACAGTGACAACCCTAATTATCAGGCATGTTCTCTCACATCTTAAATACTCCACAGTTATGTGTTTCATCTGTTTGACAAACAGACTCAGCCTCCACAGCAAATCACTGTTACACCCACACCAGTCACACCTCAAACACACACACTCCCACACACACGGACCTTTAGATGTTTGGTCGCTCTGTGTGAAGTGAACTCATTATTAAACTCGATTACATGTGAGATAAGAAGAGTGTGACATGTACAGTTACTCTTAACAGAGTGTCATGTATTTACTCAAGGTGTTTGTCTTTCTCTGGCTGTGTGTGTGTGTGTGTCTGTGTGTGTGTGTGTGTGTGTGTGTGTGTCCGTCTAGTTCAAACACACAAAATGTGACTTTAATCCTGCGTATTGATATTGGTGATGTGGGCTAATAAGACGCTCGGAGCAAAAACACAAACACCATACATATTAACATTTCTGTGTGTGTGTGTTTAAACAGATTTATGTATAACAAAGCGGAGAAATCGTTCCAGGATCTCTCCAGGACCTTTCAACACCTTTTTCAAGAACACACCCTAAGCTTTCTTCAGGTCAAAGACTTTTTTACTCCACACCTATTTAAATATATTTACATTACCCATAATGCACCTGGAGCCTTTCATGAGAGCCTCCCTGCCCAGAGGTAGGCCTGATGACATCGCAGTGATATCACAACGCACCTGGTTAATGACGTAGACGCCGTAGTCGAGCTGCTGCCTTTTCAGGATGGGGTGCAGGTAATACAGCCAGAATTTCAGGTGTTCGTCTCGTTTCCTGAACGGGATGATGATGGCGACCTTCTGCAGCGCCACGCAGTCTTCGGGTTTAAAGCGTCCGCCTGGCTCCAGGTCAGGGTTTTCCACTTGTACCTTGTCCAGACTCACTGGAGTGTTAAACTCCACCCGCAGAGGACCCACTGAGGCATAGATGACAGGAGGGGTTTGTTAAAAAATAAAAAATAAAAAAAACAGAAACAAAGGTTTATGAGATAACATGTCTTAAAAGGTTACAAATTCTGTAGATGTATTGATACAATAGTATTTAAAAGTACCAAAACTTTAAGCAAACTACATCTATTTCATAAGATTGGTGTAATATAGAGGAAAGAATACATCAAAAATTGGGGATGCTAGTTTTTTTTTTTTTTGTTAATTTTAGACAGTGTGCAGGAGTGTGCATGCAATTTTTTTGTAATTTAAAATAATACTAGTTTCATATTGGACTTGAACGTTTTGGTGTTGAGGGGCAGGTTTGGTTGGTCTGGTGGTGGGTTCACGAGCCCCATGAGCAGAGTCTGTTTGCCTCATGTCGTTCCCCACGCTCTCCCTCTCCCTGATTTCCTGCTCTATCCACCGTCCTGTCTCCAAAATAGTGGCGTAAAAAGAAATGAGATGTTCACATTTTCTGTTTCATTCAGAGAGCTCACTGTGACAAAAACTGGAATCAACCAACCCAACAGCAGGAAACGGTTCGTGTGTAATCAGTCAACTATGTTCAACACACACACAGACACACAGACACACAGACACACACAGACACACAGACACACACACACACACAGTTCTCAGGACGTGACTCTGCTCCTCTGCGAGTTTGAACAGAGTTTATGTCTGACAGCTGCACACATGTGGTGCCTTCAGGTTCTTCTTCACAGTATGAGAGTCACTTCTTTAAGTGTTTGCATTATTCCTTACAAGGTTCACAATACCAAAATGTTTAACTTTGATAAGATTCTAGTCAAATCCAAAAATATTGATACTCGTTTTGATACCACAGCAACAAAAAACAATGTCTTGACACCCAATGTTGGGCAATTTCTTGTTTTCAATGAACAAAAATAGCAAACAAACTCCTGCACACTGGCTAAATTAAATAAATAAAAAAACATTCAACATTTTTAAATGCTGCCTAAGTTTATGTGCAATTCAGACAGTGTGCAGGGGCTGCAGATGGCCTAGCAGTTAGGTCGTGCCCCATGTCCAAAGTCCTCCAAGCAGGCGGCCCGGGTTAAAGTCTGACCTGTCATTTCCCACTTTCTCTCCCGGATTTCCTTATCTATCCACAAAATATGTTTTTGTTATTTTAAAAAGACAGTGTGCACTGTGCTGGTCTTTGCCTGCAATTTTTTCCCCTCGCTCCTCTCCAGCTCCTCTCACTTCTCCAAACATTACCAACATATTTTTACAATTTAGACAGTGCTCTCTTTGGGTTTAAAATGACTGAACATCTGTAGTTTTCTTTACTACTGAAATACTATGGACCTGAAAAGAATAGAGCATGCTTTGTTTTAAAACATGTGGCATCAAATAGTATCAAAGTATAGAACATTCAGACAACATTCAAAGTTTGTATTCTGATAGAGGTCCTCCTCCTGTGTTAACAACAGAGGACCCTGGGGGGGGGCAGCTGAGTAAACATGGACTCCATTAGGCTGATAATAAACATCACAAATCATCAAAGTTACAGAAACTGGTTTGAACTGGTCCCAGGTCAGCTCAGGCCACTAAACTTAGGGGAACTCGCACCTGATCAGAGAGAAAGACATTTCCATTGAAACTGTCATAGCTGATCTCAAATGCTTCAACAGATTCATTCATTGCTGTTTCAGATCGGTTATTTACAGTTTATAAATGTACATTCCACGCACATTTGAGGGTCTTTACCCGACAGGTGAATATCTATGTGAAAAAGCATCAACATATTCTTTCTACTCTGAAAGCAGACTGAAAGCATGTCAATTGCACATGTTTATATGTGTACTTGAACATAACATAAGCCCAAATAATGTCTCTTAAAGTTAAAGTTAAACCTCTATGCAGACACTGCTGTTCTGCTGTGCAGCTGCATGACACACATCTCCTTCCTTTTGTACAGCTCATTTATGATTTCATTTGGCTATAAGTTTCATTTTCATTCTTTCAAAGGTTTATTTTATATATTTGTCCACTTTTAATTGTAATCTTCTAAGACGTTCAATCAGATTTTATTCTTCGTAGGAGTAAAATTCTAACCTTTGTATTACAATACTACAATCTTTGGGGTGGTTTGTTTTCATGTATGTACAGGTTATCATATATGCGGGGCAGCATGGTATGTTAGATGTGTTATTTCATGTCTTTAATAAGCTGCTACTAGATGCCTACATTTCTCTTAGGGCCAATGACTGGTGTGTGTAGACATTTCACTAAAGTATGCAGAGCTGCAGGCAGCAGTCGTTCACAGATCAACAATGAATTATAATTCTAGTTGAATGAGATTGAACGGTTTGTGACTAAACACCAATAAAACACCAAAAAAAAAGCTTCTGTTTTATATGTTTTATGACACCACCAGAGTGTAAACAGCTGTAACCACCGATAACAATGACCTGTAAGCTGAGCGTGTTTCAAACCCAACACTCACTCTGTCTGTGAAACATCTGCTTTCATACTGTCTGTCTCCCAAAAGACTCATAACACCTACAACCGCTGATGTTTAATACAGAGAGCAACTACACACAGCCAATCAGAAGGCAGCATTAAGCCCTCATGAGATGAGGAGAGGAGAGGAAGATGCCAACAGGGGAGGAGGAGATGTTGGAGGAGGATGAGGAGGTGAGCTGCGATGGAGGAAGACGACAACACATGAAGCTGAGGCACAGAGAGAGCCGAGAAGGATAAGGGGGCGAGGTTTCCGCACTCACTCTGATTGGTCAAGCACCAGACATCTTTAAACTCACTGACACACTCTAAAAACACAAAACAACATCACACTGACTGAAGAGACACACTTTTCTTCTTCACCTGTTCTTTTCTGGTGTCAGGCTCTGATTGGCTGATTTCTTGGTCACCTGATGATGACTGAACTGTTTTTTTTTTGTTAAACAAATCCACAGAATGAACAGCTGTGTTTTCTTTGCTTTTTTTTACAGAGTGAAGAACAGTGTCATGTGTCCACAGCTATGTAGAGTAAACTAGTTAGTTTGAAACTCAAGGTGAGTCATTGTTTGGTTACCACAGAAACGTAAGGCCTATGTTTAGTCAATTTGTAGTTTGTATTACAGGGCTGGACACATCAGCAGGACTCCCTTTTGTTTCGTCACATTCGGTTGTCTATTTTTAACACGGAAGAAAATACTGAAAAGGATTTTTATTAATAGAGAGGTCAGTACTCGTGACAATGTTTTTTTAACACACACACACACAAACACACAGAGCTGCTACACACACTGAAGAAGAGGGGAGAAAGCTGCTGACTAACATCCCTTATGATTATACTGTTGAAAACAACCGAGGTCCTGTCATCCAAACAACAGAACTCCAGTTGTGAAAAGTGTCGCTTGCGATTCAGTTAACAAACCGGATCAGCCTTGTGTGGAGAGGCTGGTGTGGCTCCACTCTCCTCAGTTAAAAACATAAACACAACTAAAAAAAACAGAACTGCAATTACATGATGCGCACACACACATCACACATTCTAATCAACACATTGCACTTTGACACTTTACACCCTGGACACTTTACACACTGACACTTAGGGTTAGGGTTACACTGTTTACATTACTCATTATATACTCATTATTCTATATTTTGTATATTAAAATATTTCTTTTTTTAATTTGACATTATATTCTGTTTTACTGTATATATGTGTATTAGTAATTTGAGTGTTATTGCATGGCCTTGCGGAACAGTCTTTACATTTCACTGCACATCTGTATGAGCATGTGACAAATACAAATCTTGAATCTTGGTGAATAACTTGGTTAAAATAAGAGAGACTGCAACTGTTAAAACTACGGGATTCGATCTGCCTCCGCTGACTTCTGTGTGTCTGATCTCCTCACTGCTTGACTTTCAGCATACTGGTTAGGACGCTGACTGTTGAGGGTTGTTAAAAACATATCTATGCAAAATTTTTGCAGCTTGTTGGTTTGGAAAATTCCAAAGCACCTCCATAAAACAGAGATGGAGTTTTGGCAGGCAAAATAGTGGTCAAACCACACAAACCTCTGTCTTAACTATTCACTGATAAGACAAGGAAGTAACCTGAGCTATGACAGGAACTGATGTTAATGTGTTAATGTGTAAATGTAGCTGCTCTGCTTGGGTTACTGACGGTCTGAACTTCTTTTATACTGTTTTATGTTTCTGGAGAGCCTAAGGCCTCTGGTGGACAATAAAGATTGATTGTATTTATTCTATTCCATATCACTCTGTTTCAGTGACACATGAACAAAGCTCTGACTCTCAGACTAACAGGTTTGTCACTGACTTGTGCTACTGCTCTCTCAGTCCTGTCCCACCTGCTGGGTGGGGTTGGGTCAGGTACATAGCTGCAGGCGCTCACTGTTGATCCCATCAAAACTTTATGTTTGTTTCTAGTAATGAACTGGTTCTTATTGCTCAATCACCGAGTCTATACAACTGTCAGCAGACTGCAATATCACTGTTTGATGATAAATGTTAACACGTGGATTTAAGTTTGTTTACCCTGTAGATACTGCTGAAATAACCCACACACTAACATGAGTGCAGAACAATGTGTATCTTTCTTGAAACAAGCCGAGCTACAGTAATGTTGTTAAACTGGTTTTGGGGGCAGAGCCAAAAAAAAAAAAAGACTCAAAGGCACAGAGTCCAAAACAATCCACTCAGAAGTTTTAACACCTAAATGCTGCAGATGTGCATTATAAAGTGATTACACATTGATTATCTGACTCATTCACTGCTGTACTGATATTCAGAATGGCAGCACAAACACACATCTTTATCTATTAATAAAAACAAGGTTGCTACAGTTCATTAGACAACTAATTTTTCCAGATGTGTTGCAATAATTGATACAGCTTCAGTAACACATCTTTATCTATTAACCTATTAATACAAACATGGTTGCTACAGTTTATTACACAACTAACTTTTTCCAGATGTGTTGCAATAATTGCTATTTCTTAAAGTACAGTTCTTCAATACATTTAAGATGAGTACAGGGGAAATGCTGATTTAATTAATTCCTGGGGGGGTTCATGGGTAGAAAACAGGGTTGTCGTGATACTAGATATTTAAACTTTAATGTCATTGAGGTAAAAATCAAATGAAAAAACCGGCTATAACCCGGGTCTGTCACTGACACTGCTCCGGTTCTTACCGAGCAGAGGGGACGTTTCGGGGCATTTCTCCAGCTTCTTGGTCGGCACCTCCACCTTCTCCTCCTCCTGCTGCTTAAGCTCCGGGGGTTTCTGCTCCGCCGGCTCCTTCAGTGTCTCGGTTCTGGTGTTAAACTCGAGTTTTCTGACCTGGTTCCTCTGGGTGGAGTTGTGATGGGACTGCTGGTTCTGGGCGAAGTTGAAGCGCTTGTCCAGCGAGCGGACGTAGAAGACGAAGGTGACGGTGATGTGGAGGAAGCAGAGCAACACCACCAGCTTACAGGTCCGGTGGAGGAGGTTAAAGTTCACCGGGGAGTCTGCGGGCATCCTGACTGACTGTTTCAATAACCAGAAAATCGATTTAAAAAAAAAAAGAAGTGGAGGAGCTGGTGGTTATAAAGGAGAGTGAAACTGCTGCTTCTGTTAGCGGCGGGTCTCAGGCTCCATTTTCTTTTAACTTTTACCCGGAAAGTTATTTTTAAAGTTTCTAAACACCAACACTCGGTCAAAGTGTCGCAACAAAGTGTCAGGTTAAACCGAAAAAAACCGAAAAAAACCAAAAATTGAAGCTTCTGTCGCTGTCAGAGAGCTGCCTGCGGTGAAGTTATCTGTCTCTCCGAAGTGCCGCTAACCGCTATCAGAGTTAGCAGCGCAGGAACTCGATGTCTCTGCCAGTGGGTCCGATTAAACACGGAAACTTTAAGAGACGAAAAGTCCTCCGACGGCTCAAGAATCCACAGATATTTTAAGTGTAAGAAAAATGGGTTTTATCCCATGTTAACATAAGCTGCTGTCGTTCAACATTAAACTAAAAGAAGTGGAAACGAAGAACTCGTAAAAACTTTGCTTCTCGGACCGTCGCTGCTTCCGTCACCACTGAGAGGACACCAAATTGTCAAGGTGCCAAAATGACCAGTACACTTCCAGTCGTTCCTTTTCAAAATAAAACCAGGAAGTTAGATTTATTTTTTTGGTTTGATTGCTGTACATATATAAACAACACAACTTCAGAAAGTCAACACTTTCTTTATTCTTATTTTTTATATATTCAGGTCTAATTACAGATTTTTTTCCTCAACTGTTTATAAATAGATCGATAGAATCTTTATTATCATTGTATACAAAGACACAACAAAACTTTGTTAGCGGCAATCTTAAACAGCAGCGTTTACAAAAACAACAAAAATATATTTGTGGTGATATGAGAGCGAAGTATGCAAAAAGTGGCCAGAGCAATTGCTGTTCAGTGAATGAATGATAATAATAATAAATAAATAGATAAATAAATCTTTTGCAGTGACTGATTAATTAAACGAGATTAAAGATATAGTGCAAATAAGTGAAGTTATAGTGCAGTGAAAGAGTATATACAGTTATTATTGTGCAGTGACTGGATGAATGAATAAATAAATAGACAGTTAAAGTTAAAGTGCATCATTATAGGTTCTTGTTTAAATTGCACATGTATTTTTATTTTTATCCCTGCACAGGTTATGTGCATTTCTTGTATATAAGTCTATTTTTAATTGCACAGTTTAAGTTTGATTCATCTAGAGGTATTCTTTAAATCTTTTTTTGGGGTTAATGTATATGTATGGGGGGGGGGGGGTTTGGTTTAATTTGTTAAATTGCTAATGGATGCTTTGAATTTCCCTCAGGATCAATAAAGTATCTATCTATCTATCTATCTATCTATCTATCTATTTATCCATCTATCTATCTATCTATCTATTTCGATTCAAAGGGTTTTGTTGACACGACAAATACAATTTTGCATTATGTGTGGAGATGTTATATAATACAATAGCATAATAATTACAAACAGCACCTTGCTAGAGAAAGACCTTATAATAAATGATGTGTAAAACAAGTGGTGTTAAACTTAAAACATTGAAATTAAAAACAGGGAATATGCTCAAACAAATAAATACAGATAATTTAAGATAACTAACGTTAAAAATAGTAAAATGTAGAGTTAAAAATGTTAAATGTTTTTGTTTGGTGTCCTACAGAAACAATAAGAGGGCATATGTCCATATGTTTCATTTCACTTTGTTTTCCTGTGATGACAAATTAATTTCTGTTGTTTTCTGGAGAGCTCATATTATTTATCTACTTATCTAAGGGTAATAACACTGTTTTCACCATTATATAAGAACATTTCTTGTGAACAAGAGCAATCGACTTAAATTATCTTTGAATCACAGGACAATCAGAGCACTATTACCCCAAGATAAAAAGGTAAATAAGTTGAGATCTCAATGTATATTAGATATATATAAGCGGACATACATCATTACTCTTTTTGTCTAACTCTGTCTCTCGATCTCATCTTATTTATCATGTTAACTTAATATAACAGTATTTTCCCAAGGGGACGAGGTATATTCAACTGTTTTCTTGAGATCTGGACATCACAGACATAACAGACTCGTTATCACAGGAAAACAAGCACTGTTCTCCAGAGAGAACAAGATAAACATGTTGAGATCTCGAAAAAAACAACCAAATTTACAGACAGAGTTACATAAAGTAAGGCTTTAAGAACAAGGATGAGTGAGCAGTGAGCAACCAAACACACACAACATGTTCTTACATTTTATCAAAAATTCAATTTAACCAGAAAATAAGGAAGCAGCAAAGACAAAGGTTGTCAACATTGTTTTGATGCCAAGTGTTTTGAAGCTATACAGTCTGTTATTTTAATGATAAATAGTACCAAAACGTATAGAGAAACGAAGAGAGTGTCTTCTAAATTGCAAAAATATGTTGACAGAATTTGGGAAAAGTGGGATGAGCTGCAGGCGTGTGCAGGAGTTCTTCTGCAATTTGTAGAGATTAGAAACAATAAAAAGTGTTCTCAAAACAGTCATTGATATCTTTCTATTTTTCTGACTTTTCAAATCCGGAATGAATAGAAAGGTTTTAAATTTTGCAGTCGATCCTCCTTTTACCTTTTATTTTTCATTTCTTTTTCGGAACTCACACTTTAGATTTTGAAGGTGGGCGCGCCACACTTCCGGGTTGTTTTCCTTCACACTTCATTTGGAGGAAGGGGCGTGGCTGCTTCTGTGTGTCAGTCTGTGAAGTCACTCTACCGCCCACACACTGCTCGGGTTTCTTAATCGTCAATCGTTGATCGATGTTTGATCAGTCCTGATTCACATGTTTTGTTTTTGTATTCACAAAACTGTGATGAAATGAAATTTGCTGTCCCAAAAAAATGTAAAGGATGAAATGTCATCCATCATCTTCTTCATATCGATTTATATAGCCTACATTTGTATAAATCAGACTGATTCAGACACGTGGTGATGATGGAGGGGAAGCACAGACGCCCTCGTGTGGTGAAAATGTCAAAATACAACCAACAGTCCAACTTTCTTTTGTTAATATAATGTTTCATCAGTTATTATTAATTCATTATTAAATCATACCACAATTAAAACCTTTTATATTTAATTGTAATGATTTTATTTTACAGTTAAAGTTAAATCTTAAAAAGTCCTAACCATCCATTTTATATACTAGACCAGAAACTGCAAGAAGATTTCTTAGACAAAAGACAAGGATTGTCTGAATGAACATCCATACAGGGTAGTTAATATGAAAACTTGAACCTTCAAAACTTTTGAATATACAGCTCACATAAATGTATGACCCTGAAAGAGATCTGGACCCAGACACCCAGTTCTTCAGTAACAACAACACGTTTACACTGATGAACAATTCAATATGAACATTAAAATGAATAATCCCTTATTAATCATACACTTCAGTAGTAGAAGGGTTAGGGTTAGGGTTAGAGGTAAGTCTTCATCAAAATGAATCATTACTTGAGTTTAATAAGTTTATAATAATTACTGTATCAGAGACGTGACTTGTCAATGAGGAAGTCAACGAAATAGAACAAGAAGGATATGAATTCTTTACAAAAACCAGGATCAATAAATTAGGGGATGGAGTTGCTTTGTATGTGGACAGAGACTTGAGATGCAGCCAAAAATTACAGATAACATATTGGAATATCTAACTGTTGAAATTAATGTAAAAAAAAAACTATAAGTTGTGTATATAGAACACTGTGATCATGTATAGATACATTTAATGAAACATTAGCTGCCATGTTTATTTGTTAAACCCAAAATGACACAAAAGAACAGCAAACTATTTTCCTGTCATTACAAAACCAAGTAGAATAACAATAGACATCACTACACTTATAGACAATATATTAACTAATAAAATGGACTATTAGATATAGGTGGACTTCTCATAAAGTACATAATCGACCACTTTCCTGACTTTGCAATTTTTCAAATTGTTTTGGGGAAGACAAGTAAACACAAGACTAACACATTTAATTTGATGCAGCATAAAGCAATCGCTGACCTTAAGTACTTTTTTCTCTACTTTTCCCAACTCTGCGAGGAATTACAGGGTCTGATGCTCCACAGTTTCTGTTCAAAATGAATATACAGTAAGTCATTTGTGTATATATATTTTTTTTTTTTTTCATTTTAAGCTATGCAATGTTTCTTCACAGGAGTTTGTATATATGCTTCTTTGTGTTAGTCTAGATCAAATAACATTAACAATACAATCACTTCTATAGCTAGGCCTGAATGATTTAGGCTATATTCTCGAATGCTGCACATCAGTCTGTTATTCTAAACAAATGTACCAGTAAAATAAAGTATTAACACACAGATGGGTGTGCAACTGTACACCCACATCGTCTTAAGGACTATTACACAAAGATTGTTTAGTTGTTAAATGACTTAAACAAAACTCTTAATGAAGCCTCTGTAAAAAAACATTTATACAAATCTGTGAAAGCTGATTTATGTGTGTGTGTGTGTGTGTGTGTGTGTGTGTGTGTGTGTGTGTGTGTGTGTGTGTGTTAGAGAATTAGAGAGACAGAGAGAGAGACAGACAGACAGACAGGACTGCTCAATGCAAATAACCCATTAAACCAGTTTCAACCAGTGTTTTCAGTTTGTAAAGGGTTCTGATTGTTTGGTTTCTGTCTTGTGTATGTATGAAAACATCACATGTGAACACACAGGAGGGGGGGAGGTGAGGAATAAAGTGGAGAAGGAAAGGAAAAGCGGAAAGGAAGAGAGAGAGGAAAAGACAAAGAGTATAGGAGTTGAGGAGGAGAGGGAAGATGGAAAGGGGTAATGGGAATGGAAAGGAGGTGAAAATAAATAAGAAGAGAAGGTGGGAGCAAAGGAGGGAAAAATTAAGGAGATGATGAAGGGAAAGGAGACAGAGATTTTAAAGTAAGAGAAATGAGAAAAGGAAAGTAAAGGAGAAGAGAAGGGAGGAGAAAATGAGACAGTGAGAGGAAAGGACATTTATTTATTTCCATATTTATTTATTTCCACATTTATTCATTTCTACATTTATTCATTTCCATATTTATACATTTATTTATTTATTAATACTTTTGTCAGATCTCGTCCTCCATAGCATAAATCTTACTCAACGACTATAGTTGTACTTTAAATTCAACTACTTTTTGTTTGTACTTTCACAACAATGGGTACTGCCCCGGTGTGTAGTGGTGACTTTCAACACGCTGATGTTATTATAACACGATAATAAAACGTGTTTTCTTTCTTCCTCCTGAAACTTCCAGCTCACTGCCGGAGCGACGTGATGACGTCAACAGCCGTACGTCGCCCGCTGTGGAGGAATGTGCGGAAACTTCTGCTGCACTTTTTCCTTTCTGCGCTGTTCGTCGAAGAAAAAAAAGTCCCGAAGCCGTAAAAGAAAGTGAAGAAAACTCTCGCAAAGTTCGGCGGTGAAGACTCGGTGAGTTTCTCCGTGTGTGTGTGTCAGTGTTGTCGGCTTGTGAGGGGACAGAGAGCCGCGGTTTGTCGGAGCTCCGCA